CTCGCACTGCGCGTTCTGCCACTGGTTGTCGTTCATCTTGTTGAAGAACACCCACAGCGCGGAACCGTGGATCACCACTTTGGAGCTGCCCGTCATGTAGTGGCCCCACGATCGGTAGCACCGGTCGTTGTTGCCCTGTCCCTGAGCCGCGCAGTTGCTGAAATCCGGGTCGCCGAAAGCTGATTTTACGCTGTGTTGGAAAGGGGTTAGCAATCCAGAGTATCGACAAATTTTGGACCAAGGGTTGACTTACGACCACGGGCTGGGCGCTCTTTGAGGAGTCCCCTCACCCTGCCAATATGCAGACTCCGTCTGCTCCAAGCTGATATACACATTCTGCGCGTTGTGGAGGTTATACTGATACAAGACGCAGTGCTCGAAGCTCGTTCCCACCAGCCACGTGGGCTTGGTGCTCTCAATGAGCGCGCCCCTGCCGACGGCAATGTTCTGCGCGGCGCCGCCGTCGAGCGAGTGGTCCGCCACCCAGCCCCACACGTTCTCTAGATACGCGCTCGCCGTGGAGGTGACGTGCATGAGCGCAAAGGCGGCCTTGCACGCGCCCGGGTCCGCGCCGCCGCAGTTTGTGTTGGTGAGCGAGTGCTTCGTGCCGCCGACGCGGAAGACACTGCTCCAGATGCCGACGTCGCCGGGCCGCGCGCCGGCCATGTTAATCTGGACTAGGGTCGCGCCCTGGAGGACGTCGGCTACCTCGACCGTGATGTCGGTGATTTGGGCGACGCCCGTCTCGCCGGGGTTGCCGACCTTGAGGATGGGCTGAGGGTCGTCCGGGTTCCAAAACTTTGATCCGATGCCTATTCTCAAGTCAGTAACCGGTTTCAAGGGACTCTAGTGGTTCAGGCATGGCCTACCGTTGATGATGCTGAGCGTCTCACCGACCAGCCGGGTTCCGGGGGGCACGTAGATCGTCTCCTCGGTGCGGTAGATGCCCTGCGGCACAAAGATGATCTTGCACCCCTTGTACTTTTGCAAGATGGCGTTGATGCTCGGCCCGTCATTGTGGCTGTTGTCGCCGTACACGGGGTACTGCGCATCACCCTTCAAACTCACGAACTGATCCAGCGCATACTTCTCATACTGCGGCAGCGGCGCCGTAAAGTACCGGTCTCCGGAAACCAGCGCGGCGGGCCGGTCGATGGGGTACACGGTTCCCTTTTGCAGGTTATTCGAGTTGACGTACCCCATGACCCACGTCTGCCCGGCCGCCACAGAGTCCTTGCGCAGCGTCGATCCGTCGCTCGCAGACTTGACGGCCGCGGTGCTCCCGCCGCCGACCTGGAAGTTGTCGAGGACCAGAGAATTCTGACCGTAGCCCGTCACGAGGTTGTTGACGCCGGCGTTGCAGGAGGATTCCACCCTGGAATCGACGACAGAGACCATGCCCGCCGTGTTGCGGCCCATGTCGATGCCATAGTTGCAGTTGGCAAAGGTGGCGCCCTGGACGACGGCGACCCAGACGTGGTCGACGGAGATGCCGACGTTACATCCGTTGAAGGAGAGGTTCTTGAATTGGTACTGCTGGCCGTTGACTTTGATGCCGATGGCGCCGCCTTCGAATTGCTGGGGCGTATTGTCAGTCTTTTGCATAAGCTCGAGGGCGTCCAACACATGTCAAGTCGAGGACAAGGCCATTGACAGCGAAGGGAATAAGAGACAGAGACAGGAGAAAATAAGACTTACACAATCGCTAATCAAGATCCCAGAACCGCCCTGCGCCATTGTGACGCCAATATGGCTCGAGAAATTCGGCATGCGCACTTTGACATTCGTCAACGAGCACCCCTGCGACACGCTCCAGTCCATTCCAACGGCCGCGACGCCGGTGCCGATCTCGGTGGTGTCAATCACCAAGTTCCGCACCGCCATGTAGAAATTCTTCGTCGCGGACCCGTCGTCGCCCTGGTGGGAGTCGTAGCCGTTGATCACGGGTTGCTCGCCGAGCGCCGGATCGGCGATGAGCACGGGCGGGTTGAGGGCGTCGCCGACGAGGTAGGTCGTCACGAGCATCTGGATCGGCTTGATGCGGTACCGGCCGGGCGGGACGTAGATGTAGGCCGGGCGGGTTGTTACCGTGTTGCCGGTACGGCTCCATGCTGTTTGTACGTTTTGTCAGTTTTCATGTATCAGACCACAATGGCTTGGGGTGTATATATATATCGAAGCATCAGATAAGGCAAGGCAAGGTATATATATATATATATATACACACCTTCAATGGCAAAGTTAAAGGCATCAGACGAGTCCTGGACGCCCGTGTTATCGGCGCCGTACTGGACCGCCGTCCGGTAGTACTGGTACGTCGAGTCCGTGCTCGTCGGCGCCGTGCCGTTGTGGCCGATGGCGGCGCGCCACCAGATGGAGGGGTTACTCTCCACGGGGCCGGAACACGTCTGTTGTCTCGAGTCCAGGACGGCGGCGGCGGCGACGGCATCGTGGGGGTGCTGCTGGTGCGGGTGGGCGGCCCCGATGCCCAGGAGGGCGAGGAGGGGAAGCAGCAGCTTCATGATGCGATGTGATCCAGAGAAGCTTCGTCCTTTGTGAGGAGAGGGGGGCAAAGGTCCTCGAAGGAGTGAGTAGACGGTGCCTCTGTCTTTTCGGGTCATTGAGTTTTCAGTGGTAGGGACATGGCCGAGTCTTTAAAGAGGCGATTTAGGATCGCGCGCCCATACCCTACAGGATTTCTACGGCTGCGCTGGTGCCGCTCATCGTCATCAAACTATTCCGTGCCAAATTCCGTATCCTGAGATTTCTGTCCGAGTCGCACTAACACGCGAACCACCACCCCCCCTGTGCCATGTATCCGTAGTTCTTATTTCTTTCCTGCATGTGTATGAATAATCGCCCAAACCACGCTCATTACCGCAAATCTGCAGCAAGGGGGGAGCCCCGGGGTAGCTTAATGTGCTGGAGCCAGTCACACTCCTCGCGCGGATATGCCCAGCAGCCCAGATCGTGGGCTGCGACGGCCCCACCTCACACACACGGGTGCGAGATGGGGTTCGTCCCATTGAAAGAAGAAGCGCACCAGAAAACTAAGAATTTTGGGGCTGATGTGAGATGCTTGGTGAATCAAGACCCGACTTCTTTTCAAACATCCCCCCCTGACTAGTATTACTGAGCTAGTTTTACTGCGGTAGTCTCACTAGCCTATTACATGCAGGTCTGATAGCCAATTCGGAGCGGGTACGGGCATACTAGCTTTGCGGGTTTAGGTTGCTTCTTTTGCAGTTAGGCTCTAGGCACCAGAATTTCGTTGACAGGGGTTTGGTTCCTTTTCGATCAACGTCTCTTTGCAAGACTGCCGACGAGCAGGGCCAGAAGCTGAGGAAGAAGAGTGAGGGCGAGAAGAGAAAGGCGGTAATGATTCTTGATTACTTGCCTAGTCCGACAAAGGCACAAGGTAGAAGTCTATTTTAAGAAATGATTATGGGGAGGAGGAAAGCTTAGTTGAGAGCTTTTTGACCTCCTTGGAGAGGTCTTGGCGGGTTAGATGGGTTCGTCAAATCGTGCGGGAAACGACTGATGACTTGGAGGGAACTTGAACCACGTGAGGGGGATTTTCATGAGGTTACAATATTGAATTTCGTGCATACTTTGATCCAATTAGAGTTGTTCGCTCGTTTGCGCTGACTTGTGACAGTTGCCTGACTTGTGATCATGGCTTCTGGATGTCTCTCGGCTACCTTACCTTGAGTGATCAGTCAGTTGACAACACCTACGGCTTTTGGACTGATCTTGGGACATGGAAGCAGCCCGTGAAAGAACGAACTTACCTTCCACTTTTGATCAACGTTGAAATATGCCTCACACCCATGCGGAGGCTTCTGCGAGGTCATCGTTCGTCCTATCTATTTATGTCTACAGCATCCGCATCGCAGATTCTCGGGCAATTATAGTCCCGTGGTGTCGGTTGGGATAGTTTCTGGGCCGGAAGCGAGGGTGTAATCATGTATTTACTCTGACTTCAAATTTGCGTAGCTATACTTGAATCAACTTGATTTATCAACACAGCATGATTTTACATGGGATTTATGGGAAATTGGTAATTTCCGAACTTCAAGAGTCAAAGCTAATCAATAACCCTTTAGCTAAACGTTGGACCTTACCTCTCCATGTCGAACGCAACTTGATAACTGGGTACATCTCTGCGATATTGTACTTCAACGGTTGACTTTTGGCAATAGGTCCAGCTATTTGTCTTGTTTGTTTCTTGCTCGCGTGACAGTATGGTAGTTTGCCCTTTCCACGAACCTGGCCATTATCTTGGGGTTCGCAGAAACGAAATAGCAGAAAGCCTATATTCTTGCGCATCCGTCGCGGACTTGCGCTTCACACGTCAGACCACCAGACATCATACTACCCAAAATCCTTCAGAGCTATATAGTCTCATTGGCTTCAATTCCGGGGCCTATTTGTAGCGAGCCTCGACATAATTGCGCATGATCTCGAAAGCGCACAACAACGGTATTCATCCTTGATCCAAGTTCTCGGGAGCATCTTGGGCGTCTTGTTCTACTGGTTGGGGGTAGTATAGTATTCACCACGGAATCATTGGCCTGTAGTTCTAAGCGGCCAAGAAAACCGTCCTTTGATGAGGTCCAGGCTAGACGGTATGGGCGAACGCCAGTGCAGTCGACTTCGACGCAACGCAGAGAGACGAGGCATTGAGACGCGACTGTCTGAAAAGGGACGGCGGAAGTGCACCTTGACCGCTGAGGACCAGCGAGGCAAGTCTTAGTATTTGTATCTCCTTGGAGGTTGGGCCAACGAGCCGGGCATATAGATCACTGGTTAGCCGCGTATCGGATATCCTTATCCAGAATTCCTGCAGGAATACGTTGACACACTGAACATGCAGAGACTATTGTCCGCAAAGTTGTTGTCTAAAAGAAAATTGTTGACATTTGTTACTTGCTGTCTGGAACAGAGTGGTTTGTCTATCCGCAACCCTACCTCCACCCTTCTTTTTGTGACCCCCGAGCCCCGTCATATGCTTTTGAGTGCCCATCCTTCTACTTATGCCGCAGTAAAATACAGTAGTAGTATACAATCCGGCGCTTGCCGCAATGCAGCCTCTGACAAAGAATTATCGACGACATTGGTGCTGTCTGCCAGGCGAGGTACTATACAAGTCCGCTGTGTGTGATTCGACTCAAAGATGCCACTCGGGGAGAGCAAAGTCTCGGTCCTTTGGCCAATTCTCCGTCCTGCAGAAGTGAAGAAAGTTAGCAATTGTACGATTTGAGCATTGTTTGAATGAAAAGATCCATACCTTGTCGTCAAGAGAACCGTCATGCGCTTCCTCCTCTCCGCACTCTCCTCAGCCTCCGTCAGGCGCAGCCACTCATCGAGCAACTTCCTCAGCTCCTCATCCCCGCGACCGGCGCAGTCGATACCGCGCTCCGTAGCCGCAATCTTCACCTCCTGCTCCTCCAACGCGGCCGCGCCCCCATCGCGCGCCAGCAACCTGTCATCGCCTTCCAGGAAAGCCATCCGCAGCTTGCCCTTGGTCGCCCACATACCCGGCGGGATAAAACCAATCTTATCCCACATCATACCGGGCATATGCAGACTGCGCAGCACATGTTTCCTCGCCGGCGCCCTCGCGGCCGTCCCCTGCGTGCCCGCGACGCCCAGCGGCGCAGCCCGCTCAAAGTCGGCAAACGACTTGTGCCGGCGCTCCTCAGCCTGCGAGAAGCTGGCGTCGATCTGCCGCGGCAGGCGACACGTGTACGGCACGACGCCGTCGACGAAGATGACGATGAGCGGGGTGAATTCCCCACACACCAAGAGGACGAGGCCGAACAGGGGCACGCGGAGGACGTCGTGGCGCACGCGCCAGAGGAGCACCCAGTCGGCGCGCGAGAAGCCCTTGGGGATGACGCCCGGCGTGAAGACGGAGGGGGCGCGGAAGCCTTCAACCGAGGTGCTCTTTGCGCGGATGACGTCTTGGATGTGGCGGCGGTTGGAGAAGACGGCTTTGAGGCCCGTCTTGTAGAACTTGATGTAGGCCTTGCCCGTCTGGATGAGGTGGCCAAACTTTGAGGCGTCGGGTTTCTTCTCGGGGAGGTCGAGGGCCGCTGGGCGGGAGGAGGCGATGGCGTTGACCTTGTCTCTGTTCGCGGTGGAGGAGTAGGAGGGTTCGGAGGGCGTGAGGGAGCTCGCTAGCCGACGGTAGGGGGTTGCTTGTCGCGCGATCGAGGTGAGGAGGAAGGATGTGTGGACGGAGCTGCTACTGCTGCTGCAGAGGAGAGAGGACGGAGCGCGCATGGCGCGCAGCGTCGTGCCGTGGTTCATTGCATGAGACGTGTGAGAAAAGTTGTGGTTATTAGGGAAACTTCAGGGTTGAAGGTTGCGGGTTTGAGGTTCGTGAAGGGGGGGGTTCGGACCGGGTCGCGCGGGACGCCAAAGGGCATGGCCAAAATATCGAATTTAATTAAAGAAAAATGGGCAATTGGTTTCGTCACTCATTACACCTACAAGCTTATCGCTTATCGGAGTGCTTACCCCCTTGCCTCGGCCCCACCCGCAACTCCACCCACCGCGTCGGGTCCGGGGAGCGGCCGCTCTCGCCGAATCAAGCTTTGCCGTTTCCCCTTGGCGTGACTATTCAGTTCTGGCTATTGGACAATCGAGCTCGATTGTTGGGGTGATCATCAATCTCTTTGAGTATGGTCTTCGAACATTTCCACGTGCTACAACCGAAAGCTTCTTTCCGGCATTGGGACCTAATTGTCTACCTCGAATCAGCCAGGCCAATCGAAGAGTCCCTCGTGCCGCGAGTCTGCTATGTCACTGAGCTATCGAGCTTGAAAACAGATGTTCACAGAACCACCAGAATCGTTACTCTGGGTTGTCGCATATGAAAAGTCATAATTGTCTCTTTATGGCAATCATACTGTATTCGCGTAGACAAATCCGTACGTGCCCGGTTAGGTCGCTGACCTAAAATGGACTGTCTGCAAAGAGCCGAAATCACAACCCTAGAATTGCGGATCAATCTGTGGGTCAACGCAAACACTTCTTGAGGCATTTTTCGCGCAGGCCTTCCACACCGAGCAAGGCTCAGCCTTGGTCACCCTTGTGTAGTTGGTTCATCACGTTCGACTGTAATTGTTCATCTCTTGTCATCGAAAGGTCTCTAGTTCGATTCTGGAAGGGGAGAACCAAATCTTTTTGCCTTTTTGGCTGTTGACGATGTTTTAGTTCTGCTTTTAAGCGATGTTGAGTTGTGTGGGCATGTTTTGAGTCGTGCTTTGTGGCTATTTGATATGTAATATCAGTTATCGTTTAGCTTGAATTTTATTCAAATATCTTTGGTTGACTTTGAAACTAGCTTGTAGTTACTTGAGCTTCTCGTGCCCGCCAACGTTTTTAGTCTCACATATGGAGGATATCAAGGGGAGGTTGTGAGCCTCGCAACATCAGCAAGCTCAAATTCGATCTGAGTCCTATCATCACCGGAACCTAGTATACTCGCTTTCAGCCTGTGCGTACATAAAGTGAAAGACAGAAGACCTGTAGCTACATTAGAAGTGTGATGGAAAGGTGACCCGCGTCAAACCAATCTCGATCAACCATTCCTGGTCCCATTCCAACCCATCCCATCCCGTCCCTCACTCATCGACTCAAGCACCAAGCCCAAACCACCGCCGAAACCACCCAACAGCCTGATCCTCCGCCCTCATCCCGAACTCCGCCTGCCGCTGATCATTCGGGTTCCCCCTCACAGCAAACCCGTGCGTGGCACCGACGTACTCCACAATCTCAAAGTCCTCCCCCTTCTTCCCCAGCACGCTCTTGGCCTCCGCCATCCGCGCCCGCGGCATCATCATATCGTCGTCCCCGTTCGCCACGCTCAGCGGCAGCACCACCTTCTCCAGGTCGCCCGGCAACGTGAGGAAGCTCGGATGCGCCGTGAAGCCGCAGTCGATGAGCCTCTCACCGCCAAACGGTCCCGCGGCGAGCTGTGAGAGCAGGACGGTGAATTTTCCGCCCCAGCAGAAGCCCGCGACGCCGATCTTGGTGTCTTTCTTGGCGGATGTCTCACCGGACGAGGAGGAGGACGTTGAGGTAGATGGACGGGAGGAGGGAGACGGCGGCGAGAGGCGGACTGCACGGAGGTAGTTCTCTATGCGCGGGACGACGACGCTGGAGCGGGTGGCGATGACGAGGGGGATGAAGTAGCGCAGCATCGTCGCGACCATGACGGGCGCGATAAGGAGGTATTTTCTCCACCACGACTTTTTTTTCGGCCTCCATTTTGTCGGTCATGGCGAGCGCGGTCGCTGGGATGGCGTAGCCTTTTTTGTTACACATTGTGTCAGTAGCTTTCGTAACGTTGTGGGTTAGGGGGGGTGTCTCATGTGAGTTCACGATGCCGCGTCCTGGAGCACTATGATGTCTCAATCCCTTCCTTGTCTGCCTGCTTGCCCGGGACATCACATCGATCACCAAAACAGTCATGCCGAGGACGAGAGGTTACAACGTAGAAGTCCAAAGCAATCCCGCATACCAAAGCCAACAAAAGAAGAATGAAACTTCTCAAAAAAACTCACCATTCATTAACTCAGGAAGCAGTACCACCGCCGGAATCCTATTCGCATACGCATCCGCCAGCGCGCGCGTATTCTGCAGCTCCCACCCCATCGCGTCTGGCAAGATCACGACGACGCCCGCGGGCTCGCCGCGGCCCGGCTCCGGGCGCGCGACGTACGTCGGCAGGCCGTAGACGGTCTCGACGGTGCCCTTGAGCTCGGTGTCGCCGCGGAGCGTGCCCTTGAAGCAGTCGGCGCAGAAGCGGGGGGCCTGGTGTTGTTGCGGTTCCGACGACATTGTGTCGATGTAGTAAGTGGGATGTGCTGCTTAATTGGTGGAGGTGAAGGGTGAAGTTGTTGGTTATTCGGGAAAGTTGCCTTATGGACGGGGTGAGCTATTGGGTAGGTTTGAGCTCTCCCTTGATGCGACAGCTTCTATAGGCCGGAGGTCAATTACAAGTTGACCAAATGTCCGAAAAACGAAGATGCCCGCAATGTTTGACTCAGTGAAAGGAAGAGTAGAGGCCAAGGCGGGAAAGACGTTATCTCTATACTCTATAGAGACTACCTCAGGTCCTAAACACCTCAAGCTCCTGCAGAGCTAACCTCAGCTCAGCTAAACTGACCTCGCAAAGGGAGCTGTCACACCAGCGGGCACGCGAGGTTAGCGGAGAATGAAGTCATGGACGGAGTTTCATCCGAATCCGACCTCCGACCTGGATTCCCTACCTCAGCGAACTTGGATACTACAGTCTACTAGGCTTGTAGGGGACGTTCGTACTCTGAGAACAAATCGCAGTTGTCAATCGGGAATGGCTGCTCCTCGGCTCGCTTCGACATCACGTTTCTCTCGCGCACGCATGTCGATCGATCTGTACCTAGATATCCCGCCGCCCGCCCGCGCAGCCGGCCTGCGCCAACCATATAGCTTTCACGCCCTACACAAGCATCTTAGCGTGGTGCTGTGCTACCCTCCCACGTCTCCCACCCTCTTAGCTAGGTAGGTATCGTAAGAGTCGGCACCCTCGGTTTGTGAGCGGGAAAGAAAGCACTTTGAAATCGGGATCGGACATAAAAAACATCTCGGAACCCGTCAAATGTGAATAGGCAGACTTTCTCCACTCAAAGCCGGCCGATGGCCCCCGGTTCCTCCGTCTTCTCCATCAAAGACGTTTAGGGCCGGGGCGGTGGAAATGTAACACTTTTTTTTTTTCTTGGGTTGCTGACAAAACTCGGGCCCGAAGGGAGGGAACTGGGCTCACCGAGGTGTAGCTCACCGGGAACGCGATGACGTGATTGGACCAGAGGATTTCAACACACAATTTCCCGTCTCAACTCAACAACCCGTCTATGCTTGGTCATATTGACTCACCAACCTAGCCTCGACTTTCTTACCTACTTTACCCAGGGAAGATAGCTTTGAGCTTGGCTTATCCACACTCTCATTTGTACTCAATACTGTAGATCTTCCGGCAATAATGGTGAGCACATCTCATATCCTTGAGCGCACTACCAAAATCTACTAAGCCCTACCTTACCTTACTCTGTCGGTGTATACTGACCAGAGTGAAAACGACAGGTCCACGCCGACGCCTCAAACTTCGCCAATGGCGTGACAAAGGAGGAGGCTTACGAGCAGGTCCTCATGCAAGCCGAAGGTCTCCTCGACGGTCAAAGGAACTGGGTACGTCTTGCATTCTTGTATCCTAGATACTAGAGAAGTCACATCCTGCACTTCTTACTCTCTCTCTCTCATCTCATCTACTCAGACTAACACTCTCACAGGTCGCGTAAGTCAAAAGATTTCCGATATCAACTAGTCTCTCCACAATCTCGGAGAGACGGAAGGACAAGATGAAATAAAAACTTGAGAGAAAAGAAACCAAGAAACTAACTTCCTCCTTTCTCAACCTGTACAGCAACCTCGCAAACACAGCCTCCCTCCTCTGGCACGCATACCACTCCCTGCCCGCCCCCTCAAACGCAGTAAACTGGGCAGGTTTCTACGTCCTCGACCCAGCCTCCTCTTCTTCTTCTTCCACCACCACCAAGCAATCCCTCATCCTAGGCCCCTTCATGGGCAAAGTCGCCTGCCAACAAATCCCCTTTGGCCGCGGCGTCTGCGGCGCCGCCGCCGCCACGCGCCAGACCCAGCTCGTGGCCGACGTCGACGCCTTCCCGGGGCACATTGCGTGTGACGGGGATAGCAAGAGCGAGGTCGTGGTGCCCATCGTTATCAAGGACAAGGAGGGGGAAGAGAAGCTGGTGGCGATTATCGACGTGGATTGCGCGGAGAGGGATGGGTTCGATGAGGTTGATCGGGTTTGGTTGGAGAGGCTTGCTGGGTTGCTTGCAGGAGGATGTAATTGGTAGGGGGTGAAGATGGAGATATAGAGTGAAGATAGGATGAGGAGTGAGTTGAAGGTAGGATGAAGAGGGAGTTGAAGATGAGGATGAAGATCAGAGTGAGAGGGTGAAAGAAGGAAGTGATGAGTTGGGGCGGGAGTCTCATGGGATCAAAAGAGAGTAACGGAAATCGTCTACGGATGAGAGAGAGAGAGAGAGAGAGAGAGAGAGAGAGAGAGAGAGAGAGAGAGAGAGAGAGAGAGAGAGAGAGAGAGAGAGAAGACAAGATGCGGGTTACTCATAGCATTGGATGAGAAAAGGAGCAAAAAGATTTACACGGAGTTGGCGACAACAGGGTACCCGACGGAAGGGACACGGAGTTATCTCAACATAGAATCACTTGTGATGTTGATCACAGGGCAGAACATACTGGACTCAACAAAATATATTGAGCGACGCTAGAGTCAACCTCTGCGTCTTACGACTAAAAACTTTTTCTTTTGGGTTCCCATCTATTGACATTCCCGCCAGACGTTCTCCCCATCCTTCCTATCCCGAGCCTCCGCACCCCTCCATGAGTTCATGAATCCGTGTCTTTTCGTACTTTGCACCAACCTCACGAGCACTGCATTTACTCGAGAGCCTTCTTGGCAAAGTTGGGCAGGACGAACGCGGCCTTGTGGATGTCGGCGTTGTAGTACTTGCACAGCTTCTCCTCCTCCTCGGCGGACCACTTGCGGAGGGGCTCCTTGACGTTGCGGCCGGCGTCCTTGGTGCAGACCATGAAGCCGATCTGGCCGCTGGGGTAGGTGGGGATGGTGGTGTAGGCGTACTCGGCGACGGGGAAGATCTCCTTGCAGTCCTTCTTGAGCTTGGAGATGAGGGGCATGTGGAGCCACTGGTTCTCGGCTGTTTGGTGTATGCTGTTAGCACGTCCTGGTCTCTAGATTTAACAGTAGAGTCGTCAAGAATCAGAAGCGCCTTCTGACAGAGAGTCAGGCTGGATGAGCGCCGACAGAAAAGGGGGAGGAAGGAGAATAACAGTCTCGAGTAGGCGCAACACTTTGAAAGAATAGACAAAGGAGAGTTCAAAGCGTATCCAGGTTCACACAACCCAGTCTCACCGGCATGCCACTGGGCAATATATCGGTATCTCGTAGGGAGAATCGAGGACAGGCCCAAAGAAAGATAAAGAAGCAGGCACCACTCCCAGGTAGTAGTGGTGTCTGCGGCGTTGTCTTGTCTTTTCTTCAGAGACCCGAGACTTCCTTGATTCCCCTCGATATTCCTGAACAAATGGGAACGTACAACCTTGGGTAGTGATGACACCGCCCTCCCTCAGGGCGTCGTGGAGGAGCTGGAAGTAGGGCTTCTGGAAGAGGGACTCGGCGGGGCCCTCGGGGTCGGAGGAGTCGGTGATGATAACGTCAAAGGTGTTCTTGTACTCCTCGAGGAACTTGAAGCCGTCGCCGACGTGGGTCTTGGACTTGGGGTGGTCGAAGCCGACGGCCATGAGGAACTTGAAGCCGTCGCCGACGTGGGTCTTGGACTTGGGGTGGTCGAAGCCGACGGCCATGTTGGGGAGGTACTGCTTGGAGAGGCGGATGACGGCCTCGTCAATGTCGCAGAGGATGGCCTCCTCGACGCACTCGTGCTTGACGACCTCGCGGAGGACACCGCCGTCGCCGCCGCCGATGACGAGGACCTTCTTGGGGTTGGGGTGGGAGTTCATGGCCAGGTGGGTAATCATTTCCTGGTAGGAGAACTCGTCACGCTCGGTGGCCTGGATGACATTGTCCAGGACCAGGACCATGCCGTAGTCGGTGGACTCGAAGATGAGGACATCCTGGTACTGGGACTTCTCGTGGTGAATGACCTTCTTGACCTTGAGGGTCATGGCCTGGCCTGTGGCAGGTTGTCAGCATTGCCCGGCGTCCTCTCATTCTCACGATGTCACGATGCTTGAGTTGAGGGGGTGTGGGTGACTTACCGGGCCACATGTTGGAGATCTCACGGAACCAGCCATCTGTACATCATTTCATCAGGTTAGCGCGCGGTCTCGACTCGTTCATCTCATTTGTTTCCAAAAAAGGGCATCATCTTGTCGCATCCACTCTTGTCAGTCAGTCTGTCTGTGTGTTCTGTGTCATTGCCGATCCCGAAAAGTGCCGTGCCCGGAGCAGCCATAAGCCGGCATATTTGCAATGTACAAATGTCACCTCAGCAAGAGAGGTATGCCATATTCGACAAACGATCTGCAAAACCAAGAGGCGAGGTTTCTCGGTTTCTCCTGACGAATTGCTTAACCGAAAGTGGCATGAAGAATAGTGCATGCGCGCTCAGACGGTGGAGGAGCCAGGGCTGAAGGTGTTTTAGGGGACCCGGAAGAGGACGGATAAGCCACCCGTCAATAGTTGCGGGAGGTTTCGTTGGCGATTGACCAGGTGCAGGCAGTCCGCACGGCACAAAATCCGTCTGCCAGTTGAGCCAATGAAGGGCGGTATGGACGAACGAGACAAGGCCGCTCATGGGGGCCCGCTTCCCGGTTGCGATATTCTCCGTCTTCCGTTGCGTGGGCTCTTAGCGAAGAAACCCCCCCAAGGTTCCCAAGGGCCCCAAGGTGACGACAGGCGGGGTGCTCAAGACATTTTTTGTATGGCGGGGTATTCTGAGACGGGTGCGTACAGAGGTCGGAAGAGCCAGTAACGAGCATCGACCAGCAGGACAGAGTAATAAGTAGCATACACCCAATGCCAACGATAGCAGACGGATGCCGGGCAGCCGCAGACAGAAAGGCAGACAGACAAACAGACAAACACACAACAACAACAACAACAACAACAACAACAACAGACAGAGATCTGTTTGAGTAAGGGAGGGGAGGGATGGATGGATGGAAAGACGGGGATTGGACCGCACGAACCTTGGATGGTAGGATGGGCAATTTCGCTCATTTTGACGGTAGACGGGGGTTTGGCAGGGCTACTGTGTAGATTGTGTAGATATCGACAGGTCGGCAGAGGCACAAGCAATCGAGGCAGATGATGCTGGTGCAGGCGCAGTAGTTGAGAAGGGAGGGGTGTTATATGACGAAGAAAAGCCAGGATGGAAAAGTTGAGATTGTCCGATATCAAAATGTGCGTTGACGTCGTGGGAGAGAAAGAGGTGTTGTGTGGTTGGCCTGCCGATGTGCGGTGTGTGTGCTGGGCCTGCAGAGAGAGAATCTGTACCAGTAACCATGGAAGGTGCGCGCGCGCTCCCCCGCCGTCAACAAGCGCTGGTGCGGGCAAGGTGAGCGAAAAAAAAAAAAAAAAAAGGCGCTGCAAGAAAATTTTTGTGGCTCCGGGGGTGGCCTCGTTTTGAAAATTCGGGGCTCCAATTTTCCAGTGCATCACGGACAACTCACGGTGAGGCCTATTGGCTCATTGGCTAAAGCCCACCAGATGGCACTTTGAATGGAGCATCGAGATTTCCTCAATCTCTCACCATCACCAGACGCACTTCGATCCGGTTCATGGCGCCAGTCAGGTTCCTGACTCTGCCCACATCAGTGTCTGAATACCAGCGCAATACATTCGTGACCTTGCCTTTAATTGCCCTGCCAGGCCCAGCACGTACGTCGTATTCGACGTTGTCAACAGTAATAATGTCAACCAGAGTCATGGATCGATCCATTATCCGGGCGCACACAAATGCCATGTTTCCATGGCTCTGGGTTGAACGGTTAGCAATCCGACCTGGACGATTGACAGCCCAGAGATTCCCAGACCGTCTGTCGGTATCCCTTCCTTCGCGGACTGTCTCACGAACGCGGCCTGTCAACCCCATATGCCGGCCCAACTCTTCCTGCCCAGTCGGTCCGTTGCACACCAACAACGACGCTTATCGCGAAGGGAGCACCTGTTGGCCGGTGCTGCCAACGACACGAAGCCAAACCGGGATTTCGTGCTTGTGAGTTTGGAACCCGGAGCCTGAGTCCTCTGGGCTCTCGGACTGAGCCTTGTCCAGAACTTCACTCAAGCCTTCGTCATCGGCTTTGCGGGCCACTGCCCAGAGCAAACAAGCCCTGAGGGAATTATCCGCTGTTGTACGGATACTGCAGGCATAGAGAAGGAATATGCGGCGTACGACGTGCGACGTGCGACGTGCCTTTGCAGAAAACGTGGCGAGCCAGGATTAACAGCCCAAACCTCTTTGGTTTTGTCCCTCTTTTCCTTTTGGCTTCTTGTCCCTTCCTCTGCCTCTCTCGCTTGCTGCTTGCTGCTTTTCTTGATACTGAACGGGATGTCAAATCCGAACAGTCCCCCACAGACCTCGCCTCCCTGCTCCACCTGCTCACCGGCTATCAACAGCGTCCATGTCTCGCCCGGTTGTCGCCGGATCAAGATAGTAAAGATCAGCTCTCCACCACCCGTCAGATGTGACAGCTTATTTGGTTTTGACAGCCCGCCTACGGATAGACGAGACGAGATGAAACGGAACTATCCTTTGCAACTGGGTATCCGTAGTCAAATAGATGGGGTATCCGTACCTAGGGATCCGTAGCCTATGAAGTCAAGACATCAGCCTGCCCCACTGACTGTGCTGAGGTAGTAGGTAGGCTGCTATGGACCTTACCCAGACCAAGTCAAACAGGAAGTCTTCGGACTTTGGTAGTCGAGGCTGAGGAACTCGCCCACAGACGTTATCCACAGCAGGTTGGGTCAGTCTGGTGGGCTAGTAGACAAATACGCTCATTAAGCGGTTCGATTCTTCAGCAGTAGCGAGACACAACAGCCAAAGAACCTGCCGCCTGAGACAAGACCTGCGCGTGCCGGGCGAGAACTGGCCGAGACTAGCCATGAACCCTTCGCCGATGTAAAGATATAGGCCCGATATGGGCCCATCCTTACCTAAGTCCATATAAAAGTACGCTTTTCCTGTTTCTTACCAATGCCATGGCTATTTCCATGCTGCCGGCCGCCGTGGTTTGCACCAGCTGCCGCGACCGAGCGACGGCTTCGCACTACGTGCCGAGGTCGAAAATTAGCCTTCGGTTATGCAAGACATAGAAACCCTGCCCACCGTCTCCAACTGCATCGCGACTCTGCCTCTTTTGTCCCTTATCGGACATGTCGTTTAGTATGGGTATTGGAAAAGAAGCCGGAAACTTTGCAACCGTGATACAGCGTGTTGCAGGCCATATCGTCTCATCTCTCCTGTCGCAGCCGCCATCATCAGAGAACCTTCTTCTCGGAAAATAAATGCCAGCTTGAAGGTCTGGCATCTTGAGTGTAACACAATGTTCAGCCTCCATCACCTCAGCTCCCTCAGCTTCCCCTACCCACCAGGAACGAGGGTGAGAGCGATAGGCACTGTTGACACAATGATCAGCAATCCCACCCCAAAACATCGTCTGCCATCGCAGTCCTGAACTCATCGATGTTGCTCTGATCCCGCATGAACCATGATCGCCTTTGGCAGGGCCAGTCCCGAAACGAGACATGAAGAAAAAAACTCTTTCATAACATGCAACGTCTCTTCCGAGAGCGGTGTCTGTAAGATCCAATCGAGTCCCATTATGGCTGATGCAATGTCATGCCAGACGCCGGTGCAGAAACCTTGAACCCAATTGGGAGAAACAAAACGTTTGGTGCAGGATGCTAGTCTATGCGGTGCAGCGCGTGACAGAGCCTCCCATTCCAAAGTTTACTTCAAAGTGTTTGAGGTCAATCTGCGGGCACTTCTGCCTCTCGTGGAGTCTGGTTGTACCTGTTGCTTGCCTCCGGGGCCCTGGTCCTGTGCGACTAACCCATCTGGCGGTTTTCTGTCGTCCATCATACCACTCCTCCGGATCGCGGCTTGCCATTAGACGGATCTGAAAATTAGTTCCACCGTCCTACACGCCATCTGCTCATTCGACTATTTTGCTTTACCGTCGTCTTTGTTGCCCTTTACACTGTGATATAACCGTCTGAGGGGTGGTCTGGCGGGGACCTGTTCGTTCAGTAATGTTTACTCTGACCGCCCGCATCCGGCAGGGACTTCGTCGCCACGTGGTGAAAGGCGCTCGTCAACAGGGCTTGAGACGTCGAGACCGCACCACCTCGGGCGATGTCAAGAGTAATACGGGCTGATATCTTTGTTGAAAAACTTGCCCAGCTGTGCTGGCTCTGGTAAAGCCTTGGCCGTTGCTTCCACAAGGCAGAGAGCCTAGCCCTAGGGCCCAAGCAATCCTTGAAAGCTGCAACAAAATTTCCGGCGGCAAAGTACTCGATCTTGGTGTAGCTTCCGTTGGACTGCGGCTCTGGCGCGGACAGCAGTCTTCCTGCAGCGCATCTGAGTCCATTCTTGCTCCTGTCAAGTCTCCGAGAGACAAAATCTAAGATGTCCCGTCCATTTGGTCCAAGATCTTTGTAAGGTCCATGCTCGCGTTGCGCCAGCTACTTCTCGAACGTATTGGGCAAAGCAGGTGCGGCTCAGGAAACGTGCGTTGATCTGGCTCATCGACGTTCAAGGATCCCCGTCAGAAAAGCCACGAGTTGTGCAATCCATCCACAGGCCCCTGTCGAACAAAACGAGCTGCTCCTCTCATCCTTGCAAAGCCGCCAGGAGGCCCGGGATCATGAAGAAGGATCCCAGCCCACTGGAGCATTCGTTTCTGCGGGACTCTTCCGTCGATGCTGCAGGCCCCCAGCGGCCCGCAGAATCAGCGCTCATTCCCACTGGAGCCTGCAATGCTGATCTGAATTATTGTTGGGGAAAAGTCTAGCAGAATGCGACCCTGAGGCAAGACGAGAGACTGCCAGAGTCGTGTTCTACTGGCGGCGTTGCAATTGCATGAATCAGGGTGTGACATGCTTTCCCCGAGAGCGGACGTGTTCGGCCAGGACCCCCGCTATTCGAAACGAAAAGCTGGCATCCATGGTTGTGCCATGCATTGGAAGAAGGCTTGACTGCAGAGAGAACATTGTTACCTATCGAAAGCGGAAGCATTGGCCAAAGCTCTTCGCGGAGAGAATGTCGTCGTATGGCAGATGGAGGAAAGTCCGATACTTGATGTGGCTGCGTGGCGAGCCGCTAGATATGGAAGCAACGAAAGAGGCGTCGTCGAGTGGGACGTGTTTCCGCAAGCAACGTGTGGCGATGACCTTCTGAAGGGCGAGGCGCGAGCTGGCTACGGCTGCGGGTGCGACGGCGGGTTCGCGCACGAGAAGGAGGCAGAAGAAGAGCTCGGTCCACGAGGCGTTTCCGGAGTAGGGGCCCAATTGGGGTTTTGTGGCAGCGATCTGGTGTCACGCAGGGGCCTGGAGGATCGAAGTGGCTCTGTCTTTCCGTCTCTTGTGTGGAATGCCACGATGACGCTCCATACTGAGAACGGATACTCAGCCAAATTGAAGGCTCAACTGGAGCCTTTGATTGATGCGCTGCCCAGGTGTTATTTGACAGCACGGCCAACAGTAACTGAGCCATTGATTGGTCCATGGTGTGAACGGGATGGCCGCGGATCTGTCGCAGTCCTATGTTGATTGTGGGCGGAGCCCGTTAATCTTTTGAGTTTGAAGCATATCGAACAAGTCTTTGAAGGTGGTGTACATAGGACATAGGTATCCGCAGGTGAGGGCAGGATGAGACAGGCGACGCGGATTGGGTTGGTGTTTTGGCGGCAGACCAGACGGTTCGAGATTGAAAGTTGTTTGAATCGACGCAGCCATGTGCCATTGTACTCTGAATCTGCAAGAGTCTATTGGCTTTCGACTTGTTTGCTGTGACCGTTGGCTCTCCTTGTGCATCAAGGGGCATGAGAGTTTGCAGCTCGCAACCTGTATTTCTGGGACACTCCGGCCCAACATTGTGCATGCGAAAGGGTGTACGTCAAACCATGACATAGGTCTTCTTCGAAAGCACGTCCAGACCGGCAACTGGAGATTATTCGAGTGGCTGCTAGCACCTAGGGAACTCAGCCAGAAAGCTTAGGTGATGGTTGCTGAGAGGTAAGTCTTCGATATGTAGATGCATTTGTGGTGCCTTGACGAGCATGACATGGGTGTCGAGAGGGTTGTGAGGGTCGCGTGCGAAGCACTGGGGGATGCGGCGAAGTCGGTCCTCGATGAGGGTCAAAGAGAGGGCATTCATGAGATGGTTCGTTCGGCTGGGTCCCGAGGAACTGCCCGGCTCCGAGAAGAAGAAGAAGTAGTTTCAACGAGCCAGTGGATTGGTTGAGCGACGGGTGAAATGTCTGAGATGATGGCGGACTGAATATCTGACCAAAGAGAAAGAGGTATCAGAGGTGGTGAAGCCTGAAGACGGCATTCGTAGCTTTGCACAGAGGAGACGAGGATTGGCGTGCCTTCGTGCCTGTGTACTAAGGCGACCGGAGTCACTGAGCAGTGGACGGTTCGACGGGGAACTGGAGGTGGCTTGCTTTCTAATGCAAGTGCAAGGAAGGCGCGGACAGACTTGAGAGTACCCCAGCACAAGTACCTGCCAAGTCTCGTGAGCTGCAATTCTGCGGCAAGAGCGGGCCGGGATGACAGGACAAATCAGACCGGCGATACAAGCCAGATACGTCAGAAAATGGACCCACTTACATCCCGTCCTTCTCTTGCCTTAGGTGGGAATCTAGAGCAAGGTACGTACTCAGGAAATGCAAGTTGAGGCAGGTACTGCTACCACCCCGGCTCAAAAGTTCCGCATGTTCCTGTTCCCGCTCTCCTGTTCATGTCGCATTTCTTTTTCTTTTTTGCTTTCCAACGGATAAGCTATGCTGCAGCTCTAGCTCTAGCTAAGGTCTGTTGGTTAGAATGGATTTGGTCATATGGGTACAGCGACGTAGCATCGAATGTGGTCGGACTGGCATTCTATAAAGTCAGGGTCGTGATCGACGTCGTGGCGGTGGTGGTGGTGGTGGGCGTTTGTTGTGCGGCTATTCACCTTTGCAGTGCAGCAGTTCAGAGTCTACTCAGTACTACCACAGTGCACCATGCATGGAGGAACACGGGTACAGAGAATAATCATTCAATCGAGACCAGGTAATCCATGCTTCCATAGTGTAGACACAGCAAAGTCGCATCAACCCTGTTCTGTTTGCTTGCCCATGCCATTGCCAGGAGTCAAGCCCAAGGACAAGCATACGTACCCATACCCGGGACCAGCACTTGCGTGACTCTCTTTCCCGTCTAACCAATGTACCAAGCGAGGTACCTTTACCCTGCCTGACCACCACAAGGTACTTTGCGTATCTAGCCGTCCTCGGTTCATACCTACTCTATCCGTACATACCATGGCCACGGCAAGTGATGGAACGGGGCACGATGATACCTTGTCAACGGAGACCATCGACGGAGGCAAGGACGAGGGAGGCACGGAGGGTACCAAGTGTTGACAGCTAATGAAATTGAATCAGGTAATAAGCACATAATGTACTTTGTATCTTACGGATACCATGAGGTGAGGAGCATGGAGCACAGAGCACGGAGCGCTCCAGATGGATGAGGTGAGGTGACTGAGCAGGTCCCAGGTCCCAGGAGCAGGAGCAGTAGGTAGTGAAGAGGGCGGTACTTCATAGTTTGCTCTTTGTGCGTGCGTTTGGGTACCAAGCATCCCCGTACGGATACAGCACTTTGGCTTGTTCTTCTTCTTCTGCTGCAGAACAACCTGTCTGCTTCGTCTACTTCGACTTCTCTTTCTCGCTCCCTTCCTCCTCTTCTCCTATTTGCTTCCAATCTTCCTTCCCCGTTCCGTGCGTGTCCGCCGTCTTCCCCAATCCTTCTCCCAGCACTTGGCTGCCCTCATCACATCAATCTCGCTTGGTCATCACCAACATAACTTAACAGCCTCTGTGTGTCACTGTCACGTCTCGTCTCGTCTGGCCTCAGCTTCTTGTCTGCTCCTCCTCACATCATCGTCGCCATCGTTCCTTTCTCCAATTCCTGCGCTAGCCCGTTAGTTCTCTCCCTGACCCGCCATTGGCCTCGCTGGGCAGCAAAAACACCTAAGCAGGATTATTAACCTGCAGCTCACCGGGCGTCCGCTACGAACGCCCCAAGAGTCTTAGCGGTTTTGTTTTTCTCTAACCTGCCAGCGGGATCAAGAACAAAACCGACAAAAGCTTCCTCCGCCCACTCCCGCCCGTCCCATTCCTCAAACCTGGACCTCCAAAAGGTGCACAGCCAGAGACAGGCACGCCGCAGAGCACCGCACCACACCACACCACACCGCACCGCACTTCATATCTACGGGCAGGCATTGCATTTCGATTCTTCTACCCACGCCATCCGTCCTCGCCGTCGCTCCCGTCGCCTTGTTGTCTCGACTCGACTTCCAATCTCTCTTTCCCCCCATCCTCCCCGCCTTGCGCCTTGCGCTTCACCTGCGTCACGCTGAGATTACGATCCAAATCGACCCTTTTTCTTCCATCCCGGCCCGGTCAACCTCTCATCGCTCTCCTCTTCATCTCTTCGTCTGATCTTGCCGACCTTCAACGCCCTCGGACCATTGCGAGACCGTTCCAATCCCACCTGGACCTCGACGCGAATTCCTCCAAGAACCCTCCTCCCCGGAACTAGCTGCTCGCATTTCTTCTTCCACCTCGTTTTCGCCTTAGACCGTTACCATCTCCACCGGTCCGCCTCATTGATTGTTTCTCGGTTTCTGCCCACAGTTTTTGATTACCGACTGAACGCGTTACTTTCTTTTCTTTTTTCCCCCAACACTTGTTCAGCGTCACCGCGCCGGCTCCTTCGTGCACCCAAATTATTCGGCGATAAACGTCCCTACACCAATATGTGTTTCGGGGCTCGAACAAAAGATGACGGCGGTGGTGCTCGTTCGCGCGACCTCGACCGCATGATCCGACAAGATGAGAAGCGCCTATCGAAAGAAGTTAAGCTGTTGTTGCTGGGTATGTTGACGCGATCGCTAACTAGCACAATGCATCTGTTCGTGCGCTGACTTTGTTTTCATTTGCACAGGTGCCGGAGAATCTGGAAAATCCACTGTCCTCAAGCAAATGAAGTTGATTTACGCACAAGGTTTCAGCAAGAACGAAAAGCTCGAATGGAAGCCGGTCGTGTTCAACAACATTGTCCAATCATTCCGTTTGATCCAAGATGCCATGACCGAGATGGGAATCGAGTTCAGCAACCCCGAAAATGAGGCGACCCCCGATAAAGCTCATGTTGACGCCAATTGCGTGCGACAACCTCGAGACATCCTGTCACTCTTCTTGCGTGCAATGAATAGAACGACCCGGCTAACACATGGTGTCTCTTACAGAAGCACATGGCGCATATCCTGGTGGAACACGAGATCAACGCCCAAGACCCTCTCCCGCGCGACTACCTGCAACCTGTCAAAGAACTCTGGGTCGATAGTGGTGTCAAGCAGGCAGCAAAGGGCAACGAGTTCGCCCTTCACGACAACCTGGCATAGTAAGCATACTGTCGCACCACCTGTCTTTGCAGACAATATGGCTAACCGGTATAGCTTCTGTGACGATTTGGACCGCATTTGGGATGCGAGCTACGAACCCACAGACCAAGATTTGTTACGATCAAGACTGCGAACCACGGGAATCACCGAAACGGTTTTGTTTTCGACCTGGGTCAACTGACATACCGCATGTTCGACGTCGGTGGCCAACGTTCAGAACGGAAGAAGTGGATCCACTGCTTCGAAAATGTCAATTGCTTGCTCTTCCTTGTCGCCATCAGCGGATACGATCAATGTTTGGTCGAGGACAAGGACGGCGTAAGTGTGATCGAGTCTATTTTTCCTCGCTTTCTGTCAAGCTGACCAACCCAATAGAACCAAATGAACGAAGCGCTCATGCTCTGGGAGTCGATTGCCAACTCGCACTGGTTCACGAAGTCTGCCCTTATCCTCTTTCTGAACAAGATGGATCTCTTCAAGGAGAAGCTCCCTAACAACCCAATCACGTCGCACGGTTTCACGGATTATCACGGTCCCGCCGAAGACTGGAAGTCTGCCAGCAAGTACTTCTTGGACAAGTTCCGCGCCCTCAACCGAAACACCGAGAAGGAAATTTACGGACATTTCACGAACGCCACTGATACGAACCTGCTCAAGATCACGATGGGCTCGGTCCAGGATATGATTATCCAGCGCAACCTCAAGCAGCTGATACTATAAGGCAGAGCCAGCGATATTGGGTCACCAGGTGGCCTAAGATTATCCTCAACCCCCCACCCCACGGCATGGATGAAACATGCCAACTCTAATCGATACCCGCGGTCTTTCCGGCTTTCCTAAGCTCATCACGGCCCCGCCCGGCGGCGCTAGTCATTCACGACGATTGCCACTTTGTCGTATATTTGCGATTACACGCCTAGGCCTCCCGGTCGCGATACATCAGCGAGTCCATTGCGGACGCCGGCACCGATATGGATGTATATTACTCCACTTCCTTTGTGTCTAATTTCTCGTCATCTATTGTTCATATGCCGGCGTTGGTCTGAACAGAGAGTTTGGCAAAAAATTGTGGCTGGATCACTCGGCTATTTTTTTGCATATCATCATCATTACAGCGGTCGTTGGTACCGCGCAGCCGAGGCCAGTAGAAGAGCAGTAAACAAACCACTGGTGGTCCCAACTTGGAGCTTCAAGGTTGAGGCTCAAGAAAGGAAAGAAGGCGGAGCAGGTTGCGAAGGGGTTAGTATGAGACGAAACGGGAGCGAGGAGAGAGGCCGAGCAGATTGGATTCGCGTAACGATGGATTGATACCTAATCAAGTGTTTCAAAGCTTTGCCGCTCACATTGGGGTTTTAGGGAAAGACATGTGTGTGGATTTATGCTGCGAGGCGGAAGCGCCGCGGCTACAGAGCACGCATCTATCTCATTTACAAGAGAAAAGGAAAGAAATCAGATAAAACATGTTAAAAATTCCGTCTGATAACCGCCCAATGCGTATGCTCTAAATATGTGAAGGGATCTTGTTCGATGGAGTTTATTTTCGGTCGAGCCTCCAATGCCTGACACTCTTCGCATTGAAGAAACATCAGCCTCAATTTTAAGCTTTCATGTAGGAGTGGCATATCCGACCCGAGGAGTTGGGTTGGGACCAGACTGCAACGGTCATTGATACTACGTCGTGCTCTCACCGATAACTGGCGTCCGGGAGAATCGGACTGGGCTGGGCTTGTCATGGTTTCGGATTTTGTGATACCCCAAACATGAGCTTACAAAGAAGATGTTTCACGCGGGGGAAGCAAGAGCTGATTTGACCGGACGAACGTCGCCAGGCAGGTTGCCGAAAGAAAAATCAGCTGTAGAGTTGGGTGGAAGAGAGATTGGGGTAAGTGAGGGCGCGTACCTGTTACAACGTCGTTGGGGATTTCTGTTTTTGCTTTCTTTTTGCATTCTATCTAAGCCCGTCGCCTGGTGTAAAGCAAGAAAGACGGCGGTGGACGGCCAACCGGTGTATCGTGAGGTTTACCGATTGCCTGGGTTCGTTCGATGGTATGTAAGTTGACCTGGAATGTAAGGTGTGGCACGGGAATCGCAAACGAGTCTTAGTTAGGCCCCGATGCTGCTGGGCTAGGCGGGTTCAGTTTGCGTGCCGCGGCAAAGCTGTATCCCGGTTCCCGTAGCGTTGAGACCTGGGATCTTTGTTGGGGTATGGAATGTCTGTTCTGAATTGCTCCCTAGCTTGTAAGCTATGTAGGAACATTCCTTTACCTCCTCGGCCCGGGAGAGTGTAGGTGTGAGGGTATTCATCACCATGGGGGATGGTAGGCATGGCGATGGAGTCTATGTGTCTTGTGTGGTTCAGGGATAGGGAGATGGACTTGGAGAATTGAATCGATTCTACTTGATGAGGTCTGTTGTGCTTCGAGGTGGCATACTTCAACTGGTCTTGTAGATCTCAAAAACGACAATGAGCATTCGGAAGACACTAGCCGTATATCAATACTTGAGATAATACAATACTGCGTACTATATATGGAGGCGTGATGATGAGCAAGGATCCTTCTTGATCAAGGAGTAAGGAATGTCCAAGGAGAAAACAAAGTGATTAGCGGCGGCTGGACGCGGGGGAGTCCAAGGTAAAGGCCGATCGGAGCCGGGCCGAAGCAATCCAATTTCCCGATAACGGATCGGACAATTCGGGGCCGTAAGAAAGAATTCGTACTGTACAGATTTGTCGCGATTGCTTGGGGAAAACACAGTGCGAGGTGTCGCCATTAGCCGAACCTCAGGGATGAGCTCCGACCGCGAAGCCCGTCACGGCAGCTACCCCGCCGTTATCGTTCCTCCCCCCACCACCACCACCGCGCCGAACCAAACGTCACTCGCAAGTCGCAAACCCCCTCTGCTTCGGAAAGCACGTAGCCCTTTCTTCCAACATACAATGCGCCTCGCCCTCCGCACCCTACGCACCCTATCAACGACAATCGCCAACTCTCCTACCCACCGCCTCGTCCCCTTTGGAAACTTTCATCGCAACGTCCGCAAGATGTCGTCCCTCCCGTCCCCGGTGCTCAAGAAGCCCGTCAAGCTAGCCTGCATCCAACTCGCCTCGGGCGCCGACAAGGCCGCCAACCTCGCCAACGCCCGCGCCAAGGTTCTCGAGGCCAGCGCCGCCGCGCAAAATCGTCGTCCTGGTCCTGCCCGAGTGCTTCAACTCGCCCTACGGGTGCGACTATTTCCCAAAGTACGCCGAGACGCTGCTCCCGTCCCCGCCCACCAGGAACAGAGCCCCAGCTTCCACGCGCTGGCGGCCATGGCGAGCGAGAGCGGGAGCTACCTCGTCGGCGGCTCCGTCCCGGAGCTGGACGCCGAGACGGGGAAATTCTACAACACGAGCTTGATCTTTTCGCCCGAGGGGAAGCTGCTGGCGACGCATCGCAAGGTGCACCTGTTCGATATCGATATCCCGGGCAAGATCACCTTCAAGGAGAGCGAGGTGCTGAGCCCCGGCGACCAGGTCACCGTCGTGGACCTGCCCGAGTACGGACGGATCTCCGTGGCCATCTGCTACGACGTGCGGTTCCCGAGCTGGCGGCCATCGCCGCGCGCAGGGGGTGCTTCGCTCTCGTGTACCCGGGGGCGTTCAACCTGACGACGGGGCCGATGCACTGGCGGCTGCTGGGGCAGGGGAGGGCGGTGGATAACCAGATTTACGTGGCCATGTGCAGTCCCGCGCGGGACATGGGCGCGACGTACCACGCGTGGGGACACTCGTTGATTATCGACCCGATGGCGAATGTGCTTGTTGAGGCGGAGGAAGGGGAGGGGACTGTTGCGTGGGAGTTGGAGGGTGAGAAGATTGAGGAGGCGAGGAGGAATATTCCTATTAATTCGCAGCGGAGGTTTGATGTGTACCCTGATGTTAGTCAGGGAAAGCAATGAGGACGGGATGGGATGGGATGGATGTTTGGTGTAAGAGAGTTTGAAAGACAAGATGGAGTGTGTTTTGTTGAAGCTGGCGGAGCAGATTAGGTGCATATAGAAAGGGGTTCCGAGGTGTGTCGGCTCCATGTATACCATTGTGGCGCATACAAAAGATGGTTGGGTGGGAGGAAAGACTTCAGCTTAGGTATTACGTGCATCAATGATATCTGCCTTACATTTCAAGCATAATTCTTTGCGGGCTATCACGGTGTCTCGTGGATGTTGACCAATTGAAGCTCGAATTAATGTCAGCCTCGGGATATCGAGGGCTACTCACCGTCATCCAAGCAGGTGATCATAATGATTCTCAGCCCTCAATGCGGAGTAGCCACAGTCTGGGCCTATCTATCGGTTATAAGAACATGAGAGTCACTCATATACCAGCGATTCTGTCTATTATCTTTGTCCAAGATAGAGGGACAGAGAAAACCAGACGGATTTAAGACCACCAATGCTAGGATCCAAAAACAAACAAATCGCCGGGCATCGAGTTTAGCTTACCAGAAAAGGCAGAAATATGTGGTCTTCATTGTATGTTTTCACATCAACTCAAGAACAGCCCTCATGGCAGGTCTGAAGGAGTTCCTCTTCTGCTGTCACAGCTGCAAAGCAACCGCTTTGGCATCCTATTCGCAGCCGAAACCACCAGTTATATCGAATCTAAGAGCAACACGTTTTATCCATCTCATCTCTTCAAAGCCGTCTGCACCCTAGTCTTACACTCATAACACAGACTCGCCCATTCACCTCGCAATCGCCGCCTCGTGCGGCATCAACGTCGCCATCTTGGCCTGGAACGCAATCGACGCCGCAACCACAAACTCGCTCGGCAACTGGCCCGCAAGCCTCTCCCACGAAGCCGGCGAACAGTTCTGCACAAACAGATCCCGCAACCTCTCCATCAACCCTTCGACGTCGTCGTCCCGCCTCCGGTGAAGACTCGCCAGCGCGACGTAGCCGTTGGCGAAGTTGAAGACCCACCACTCGGCGCCGTGTTGCTGCTGTGCGTCCCCAACCCCGCCGCCGCCGCCGCAGCTGCCGCCGAGCTTCGTGGCCCCGACGTTGAGCGTCTCGCGGATGGCGGTGGATACTTTCCCCAGGAGCAGGTCGTCGTGGAAACGGTCGCAGAGGGACCACATGTCGACGAGCTCCGTCAGGTCGTGCGGGGTGTGCATGTCGCAGGGTTTCAGGGAGAAGGGGGAGACCTCGTAGTAGACGGCGTCCTCGCCCGGGTGGTCCGCCGCATTGCGGCGGCAGCGTTTGACGCGCTGGGCTGTGAGGCGGGTGAAGTAGCACAGTTTCACATAGGTGCCCAGGGTCAGCGGGCTGATGCTGACGTTGACTTTGGCGCCGTCGTCGTCTGCGTCTGCGTTGCCGTCGGTGTCAGTGTCGTTGAGGTCGATTGTGTTTGTGTGGGACTCGGCAAAGGGCCCGTCGAGGCAGCGTTGGAAGTATTTCGAGGACTCGACTAGGAGGGACTTGTGGATTGCAAAGGACTGGTCTGAGGTCTTGAGCCAGATTATTATTTGGGGTTGCCTTGGTCTCGGGTAAGTAGGAATATCAGAAGAAGGTGTGAGATTGTGATTGAAACGCCTTGCCCGATGCAGAGGTTCTCGACTCCGAGCACTTATTCGAGGATAAATGAACATACTGAAAAAGACCGAAAAATCATGAGTTCAGACAACAGGCTTTGAATGAGAAAAACAGAAGTGTGGCATGTAGTCCAAGAGTGCCTTAACTTCTCTTCTATCACGGCTTTCGGACAAGACGAGATGATGCTATGGCTTCACTCACAACATCTCAACAGCATACACATAATTACAGTTGGATGTCAAATCCAATCGTTATCCAGCTCCTTCACTTACCTCAAGAGAGAACCCACATCGCTCAATTCATCAGGTCTCGGCGCTCCTCGGTCAAGCGTGGTATTCATGGTGCTTCTGTTTCTGCAGGTACGTCTGCCAATCTGGGATCAGAATACGAATGTGAGAGTGAGAGGAAGAAGCAGTAAAAAAGCCAATTCAAAGTGACGGACATTGCACGGTCGACCCCGCGCGGGATACGGCCTCGGTAAGAGAGCTTGTTCAACTCATCTGATGTTTGGGAACCAATCGGGTGGGTTATCTTGACTCGATCATGCGCGGGTGAAGGGATGATATTTCAGCTACATTACATTTCCATCGATGAGCTTCTTTCGCTATACAGCTAGATTACAGCTTCCTAGAGAGCACCCTATGTTCTGACGTCACAGCCATACGATTCTTCGGCAACTCTGCACCGTGATCTGCCTTCGCCTCATCTACAAACAGCTGTCTCCAGTCACGGTCTGGTTTGGGTAGAGAGCTTTGATGCTCAGAGGCTGTGTTCTTCGTTAGCCGATGCATTCAGTTTCTCTGGCGATTGAGATACTCACGTTCGCGAAGAAGCCCTGGGGATCGTATTTGGACTTGACTTGAGACAGCTTTGCGACGTTGGCGCCATAGTAGGAATCAAGCGGAGGGGTAGAAATCGTGTCGTCCATGTAGCCCGAGTAGCTCGCCATTCTGTTGTCACTCCCGTCAGTCACATAATGCTCATCAGGCCCCAGATTTAACAAGAACGAAAAAGGAACTCACCCAACAAGCGGACGCAGGTAGTCCTCCAGGCTCTTGAACCACTTCACATAGCCAGCATGGACCTTCTCATCCGCGGAGCTGGACACGATAAACTCCATGTGCGAATACGCCTGCTCGCGCCACGCAAACGCCGCATCGCCCGCGACCGAAATGTTCCATGCGTGCCATTCGATCCACCCCTGCGCCGCGTCGTCGAGCTCGTCGATCCGCGAGATGGCGTTCCTCATCGTCTCGTCCGTGAGCAGCTTATCCTTTTGGACCATGAAGGATTTCGACAGGCGGATGAAGCGCGCCCAGGGCTGCGCGGGAGGTAGCTCGGGCGCCTTTGTCGTCTCGTTGTAAGTGAAGTTGGCGTAACCCGGGATCTGGACGAACGGCTGCTGGATCGTGTTGACGACAAACGGCGCGACTTGCGCAACGGCCTCGTCGGCGCCGCACTCGTTGACGCCGTAGCCGAAGAGGCGGGCGTTGATGGTGTTGCACCCGCCCGAGATGTACGCCGCCGGCTTCCCGATGCCCAGGAGCCCGGAGGCGTTCACCATGCCCTGCAGTTTGTCGAGGGTGCAGCCGTAGCACCACCCAATCACATCAGTCCGGTTCTTGTACAGGTTCACCTGCGAGCTGAGGGCGCTGTCGCGCGGGGCGCCCACCCGTGGAACGTCTTTGCGATATCGAACCGCGTGTCGGAGCCGTTCCACTGCAGGTACACCATGGCGGAGCGGGGAACTCGTACATGCGCAGCGTCCACTCGATGACGATGCCGTAGGATCCGCCGCCGCCGCCGCGGATGGCGAAGAAGAGGTCGGCGGGAGGCCGTCACGACGCAGCCGTCCGAGGTGACTACCTTTGCGGACTCGACGTTGTCGACGCCGAGGCCGTTTTGGCGCATCTGCATGTTGAAGCCGCCCGCGGAGAGGAAGCCCGAGATGCCGACTGTGGGGCAGATGCCGCCCGTCCAGTCGAGGCCTTGCTGGCCGAGGGCCGTGTAGAGGGCGCCGAAGCGGATGCCGGCGCCGACGGTGGCGGTCTTTTTGTCTGCTGCGATGTTGACGTAGTCGATGTGAGTGATGTCGATGACGAGGGCGTCTTGGAGGGCGGAGTATCCGAGGAAGCTGTGCAAAGTGAGTTACCTTGAACTCACCGGGGCTAGGTTTGGAGATGTTGAATGCTTACTGGTGACCACCGGTTCTGGGGACTGCCTTGATGCCACTCGTCTTTGCGCATTGGATCAAGGGTGCAACTTCATAGGGCTTTTCCGCGTAAGCAATCAACACTGGCATCTGTGTAAACCTGTTGACCATATGGTAAGCACTGTGCCCTGAACTTTGGGGCAGTATACCGATCTCACTGGATGGCCTCTCCGATTCTCGCATCGTGATATGTAGGATCAGTCGGCGTCACGATGCGCAGAGCCGCGTTCCCTCCAAAGACCTCCTCCACACATGACTTGAGGGCCTCTCTCTTGATCCGAGGTGCGGCGAGGACTGCCTGCGCAGAAAGCGCAGCGAAGAGAAGTGACAGCTGCATGGCGAGGAGCTATGGCGGGTTGGCTGATTCGTTGACGAGGAGGATGGTCTGTGGTTGCTGGATGGGCAGGAAGGAGTTCTTCCGGAAGGTCGCGGGTGACTGTTAAATACATTGCGGCGATGATCTTTTGGACAACCTTCTCCCCTGCTTCGCAGACCACAAAATGGAGGATATGTACAGCCCTCTTTCCTCCGTCTTGGTCCTTAGTTGGCAAAAGTATAATACGAAGCACAATCGGTCGATAGTCAAACGAGACGCCAAGGATGAGATTAGCGAAATGGACTCCCAAGACCAAAGTCCGGCTTGGGTGAGAGTGGCTGTGATATGTTGGATGCTGTTACCTGGGCTCCTCCGCTAGGGGACGGATGGGAGCCCCGGGGTGGATCCCGCCGCAACGGCCGGTGGTAAGATGTGATTGGCTGAGAAGGCACAGCCTCCGTCCGAGTCAACACGGAAGACTCCGGAGAACATCGGAAATATGCTTTGTAAAAGAAGAACAGCTAACAACCCGTGAATGGCTTGACTGTTGATTTCAGTGGCTCTTTAAATCGTGAAATAGGCCAGGAAACTTGAGCGAGCAATCGCATAATCCAACATTTCGGCGATCGGCACCCTATGTTGGCATGACGAGATCACCAGACAGCACAAAAGGATCGTGTCAACATTGGCCTTAACTCCGCAGAGGCTTTTGCAATCACGTCGATTTTAAGATAAGGGTTTACGGTATGCGAAGAGAAGAAAAAGGGCAGAAAGGCGGGCTGGCAGTATCTAGATAGTTTCCCAATCGCCTGAAGAGACTCGTTGATCTGAGCATAGAGTGTTCTTCAACACGTCAAACTGAGCATGGGATGCATAAAAACGATCGATGGATCTATATTTTGCTACGATATTGATGCGAAACCTTTCAAAGCTTCTTTCACTTGTCTCCAGACCACTGGCCCTACCAGTATCTCATTTTAGGTGAGCCTACTAACTATGCGTGCGTTCAGAGGGCCCTTCAGTAATAGCAAGAAATGAAAGCCCACAATACTCAGAATGAAAGTAACCCATGAGTTGTCGGAGTATAAGAATGAAAACTATCAGAATTAGACGATAAAATAGGCCAATACAGCTGTTGCCAAGGAGACCAGTGTCGCTGCGTGATGGCGCTAGGAATTGGGCAGGGACAAGAGGGCTTATCGTCCAGAATATATTCTGGGTCGACCCTCATCCTCCATACGAAAGAAACAGATAAATCCACTCAAAGTGTCACGCGACATCGACGGGGTAAGAGTAGTTCTACAGTCCGTTTGCGTATGTTCACGGCACAGCATTCCACCCGGGCCTTCGGAGAGGGCATTGCATGACGTACGCCACCGGGAATCGACGGTGAAATGAAGTGAGCCGTCGTCCTTAGAGATGTTCTAGAAGCTCTCAATGCGACGTCTGTTGCATTGTGCAACCGCAAATTCCAAGGGGAAGGGTACTTGGCCAAATGTGATGCAGACAATGTACGAGAAACAACCAACTAGCATGTTTACCTCCGATGAAGCCAAGCCATCAAAAAGCTTCCGGCGGAGTCCTCTCTTACGCGTTTGAACAATTATTAAACGCTTCTTTGCTAAGAGTGATCGGCGGAACGCTAGCAGCATGGGCCTTATGAGATCGAGATGTCCAAGGCGCAGGCGGACCTTGGCCGCGCACCCATGACTCCTCAAGCTCTCTCCGTAGTCCGAACCCAGGGAAGAGGAGCCCAACTTCGTATAACCCATATGTGAAAGTGATTCCATTGAGTTAGGCTTCATCCATGATATGCTCGAGGATCGGCGGAGTCAGGCGCTCGCGATCTCCGACGGGCTGAAGCATGTCGACGAGGAGACAATGGGAGTCACATCTGACTGCTCCCGCAAATCCTCAAGCTGAATTAGGCATATGCAGGATCTTGAAGTCACGGGATTTTAAGCTTGATGCAAAGAATATCTTAGAATTTTCATGCATGAGCCACTTCAAGCCACAGTTTCGATGGAGCGGCTCATACCCCAGATCGACGAGGCTAAATCATCCCTTGAGCCCAACACCTGGACATCACCGCATTCCGAGGCCTTTCGGAGGGACGTTGTGTTTACCCACCGGAGCAAGAAATTGGTCCTTCACCGACAAGTCAACATGTTTCGGGTGGCCTTGGCTACGCGATGGAGTTCATCTCAACATCCACCACGAAGGTAATTGTTGCTTTGTTGTTGTCTCGTTGGCTTCGGACGGACCTTCGCCGTCGGGCATCTCTCATTGTTCATGGAAATTGGTAATCTGGTGGACTTAAGAGAGACTCGTGCCCTTCAGATACGTTTTCTGGACGAGTCCACCAATACTTGTCGTTGTTTTCTCTTTTCGAGTGTATCCGCGAGCCCGTCTGGCTCATACACCTGTCACACTCGTTTCTCCTCCGGTCCAATCGTCGTTCACCCCTCGAATCATGTTGATTATTCCAGCACTGTTGGTAGCAGTAATACTTCTAGCAAGATGGTATTCCAAGCCTAGGACGATCCCCGCCTACAAAGGCGAGGGCTTCTTCTCCTTCCTCAGCGACGCCCACGACTACGCAGTCAAACCCATCTCGCTCATCCGTCGAGCGCAATCACAATGCGGCAATATCTTCTCGATTCAGATCCTGACGGTCCACAATGTCTGGCTTCGTGGAAATGAGCTCAACAAGGCTTATCTCGACATGCCCGAGAAGGCTTGGTCTTTCGGCCACGGAATGGTGAGGTCCCCCTTCTCCCAGATAAGCCACCTCAACCCCAGATTTTGAGACATTTAAAAAAGTCGGACTTGTCTCAACTCACATGTGATTGTTAGGGAATATTTCTCAACAAGATACTCGACCCTGGATACATGGATAACATCAGGGTCATGGTCGGCTCCCTCAGCCGGTACATCAACCGCGCCACGGCTCAGGCGCACATGGCCAAGTGTACCGTGGAGGAGACGCACCGCTGCGCACTTGAGTGGACGACCAAGACCGATGTGGAGCTCTTTGACGGCGTGTCCGAATTAACGCACAAGGTCATTGTCAGAACGTTGATGGGCGATGACTTTTACGAGTCGAGCGAAGAGCTCTTGGGCTTATTGCATGCGATGGAGTCCGACATTGGCAGCATCTGGTCCTTTGTGCTGCCCGACTGGGTGCCTCACCCTCCGGCGAGGAGATTGAATCGCGCTCGTGAGCGCGTGAAGGAGATATTTTGGGAAAAGCTTAGCCAGCGACACGTCGCGGCGAAGAATGGTGACCTCGAGACTGACCTGCCGGACTACATCACGCACACGCTGCACGAACAGAGCATGGCGCCTTTGAGGCACTTTCTTCCTTCTCATCACACTGTTTTGATGTTTGCTGCTCACACTTCCACAGTCGCTGCGATCTCGTGGGTCGTGGTATGCGTACGTATAGTCTTCATCTCTTTACGTGAATGAGCAGCAAAACTGACAAACGTCTCTCAGCTTTTGCGCCATCCCGATGTCATGGCAGCCGTGAAGAGAGATGCCCGCAACGGAAATACAGACTCGGCGCTTCTACAGGCCTGTATCAAGGAGACGATGCGCTACTATGCAGGCATGAAGTGCCTCCGTCTCGCGATGCAGGAAGTGCCTGTTCCAGGTACGGATATCATCGTGCCAAAGGGCTCAGTCGTGTCCATCTCGCCCTACTTGACGCACCACGACCCCGCCAATTATCCGAACCCGGACGCCTGGATGCCCGGACGTTGGCTCAACGCCGAGAACAGGCTCGTAAATCTCGAAGAAAAGGACGGCAACGGCGTGAAGAGCATGCTGTTTGGCGGCGGCAGCCATCGATGTCCCGGCGAGAAGATGGCCATGATCATTGTGACGCAGACATTGACGACGCTGCTGCGGTCGTATGATGTTACGTGGGCTTCGCCGGACCAGCCCCAAATTGTTGACTTTGAAGGTCTGGATTTTGACAAGGTTGGCTCGCCTTGGCTGAAGGTAGGTCGTCTAATACTCTCAGGGAATCCATGGTTCTGTTGCTGACATCTTATCAGGGAGACTTGAAAGTGAAGGTTTCTAGGAGGAAGTGGCCCGAGATTATGGCGGGCTGTTGAGGCACTTGTGGTGCACAACGTTTGGATGGATAGATTAGTCGACTAGCAATGAGTAAGGGACATTCGGTAGTGGTAGAATTAAGTCTGGATGAGGCTATGATTATCAAACTCCTCTGTATGCTAATATGACTGTTGCGAATATTGCACCATCAAACGCGTCTCCCACTTGTGCCTTACTCGCACCGAAGCCAATGCTACTCTCATCGGTGACTCGATACAGATACAACATATGCATAGTCGGGAAGTGATACTTCATTGACGCTTTCTGATCTGCCGGCGGCATTTCATACCCTCAGTACTCGTGATCATCGAGCTTCGTCGAGTAAAATTGACTTTGGTCATTTTTCAGTGTTACACGAATGCAACGTAGTTTAAACTTCTGGGACACTGACCTGCTTGTCAGCAGAAAATCTCCGTGGAGGAGGAGACATGCATCCAGATGGGGGCGGAGGCCAGTCCTCTTTCATCCGGAAGAAGCAGGGGTAGGGAAGTCTAAGCGCGACTCTATACCTCCGCGAGCTTAAGCAATATGTCGGAGAGGGGCACGGAGATGGAGAATGTAAACAAAGACTGCAGCTCTTTTCGACGTCAGTTGTTTACTTCCTGCTGGCTCCTCCTTTCAATCGAGATTCGCAATGCTTCGAACAAGCCTTGTTGCGCAGCCGCCAAGCCATGAATCCCATCAACTGCCCCGCCGCTAGGAGCTAAGATGAGGCCTATGTCAATGAGGCATGAAGAGAAGGCACAAGTTTGAGAAAGATGACTTGCTCTCCGACTTCCTACATGCGCGGTAACAATGTTGACGTTGAGCATTATGAATAGCTTCAGTATAGATAAAGTTAATGCAGTTTTGTGAGCTACTAGAGTAAATGCCTAAGATATGTCTAATTTACCGACGCACCAATACGATTCAACCCGTAGATGCAGTCAACTCCAAACGCCTTCAACAATGCCGCTAAGAACACCGTAAACCACATTGCCATCCATCGCTTCCAATGCATGCGCGCCTAAAAGCACAAATTCCAACAGTAAACAAAAACAAGTGATGAAGCCGCCAGGACTTCAACCAGGAAGGCAGCCTCCAAAATGCCATGATCATGCCAGACCCTGCAAACACTTTCTGAAAATACCGCTCAGCTCGCCCACGTGCTGGGGCTCAAACGCGCCATCGTGGTCGCCGCTGAAGGGCACCGTCTCAAACTTGGCAAACTTGTCCGCCTCCCAGCACATGGCCTTCTCGCGCATGACGGAGCGGACAAAGATGACGCCCTCGCGCTCACGCTGGGTTAGGTTGGGGTCGTCGAACGGGTCGGGCTTGCACTTGATGAGGACGGTGTGGAAATCGGAGACGCCGTCCTTGGGGAGTAGCTGGCCCGGCTCGACGGTTGAGATGAGGCCGAGGCCCTTGTGGATGTGCTTCTTGATCTTTTGTAGAAAGTCACGGACCTGGTCTGGCTCGTTGTCGTCGTCCAATTCTTCGTCTTCTTCGTCCTCGTCGCCTTCTTCTCCATCTTCGTGTTTGGCGACCTCGAGGTCGTGAGCTGCTGTCAGGATCTCGGCGTCGATTTGATCCTCGGTAGGAAAGTCTTCCAGCATTCGATTTTGCTCGGGGCAGTATTCTGATCCGGCGTCACTGCTGCAAGCTGGTGACCCTGGAGTACTCGGGGACCAAGCCGGGCTATCATCTTCGTAATCGCTCGAAGTGCTGCTGGAGTATGAGACCTCTGTTGTAAAGGTTCCCCATGTACTCGTTCGGTTCTCACTAGGGGTCAGGTAGTCTCCGAACTCGCTCTCGCTGATGACGGGCGACCCGATGGGAGAACAGTCGGCGTCCATCAGTCTGATGTCGGCAGCAACGGTCCTGGTAAAGGTGAGGTGGGTGAGAGAGCGGTGATCCTTGGCGCTGGGGAACGAGGGGAAGGTCTCCGGGTTGGCCGAGTCGAGCATGATTACCTTTGTAACCTTTTCTCCCTGGTCGCGCAGAACCATGGCCATGTTCATGGCGATCATACCGCCCATTGACCATCCTCCTAATAAGTAAGGGCCCATTGGTTGGACTTCTTTGATCTTCTCGACGTAGAGTGCAGCGAGGTCTCGCAATGTTTCGGGAAATTCAAAGTCATCGCCTCCAGGGCAATGCATAGGGGAAGTAATGCCGTATACTGGCCTCTCATCATCTTCGCTAAGAGCTTCGAGGCGGAGAAAGGGTAGTGCGAGCCCTGAGATGGCGTGGCACATGAAAAATGGTGTAAGATGAGAGTCTTCGTCTCCTTGGAGAAGAGTGATAACCTCCATGTTGGTAATAGCGATATGGATAAATGTAAGTAGTATGATGAGATGAGTAAGAGACGGTGGTTTTCGTGATCTTAGTGAAAGCAGAGAGTAATTAGTCTTGGCAAAAAGCTGGGCTTTGGTGAGTAAAAGTAAAATATCTTTTGATTTTAGGCCGGTCAACCGGCGAGATGCTCACGAGAACCTTTGACGACCGAATGCGCCGAGAAGCTTGTTGATGACCTTCTGAAAGCACTTTTCAGCCTCCTCCAAGACCAAGTCTTATATCGAACATTGCAAACTGAATCCGTGATGGCAAAAAGTTGCGAACTGTGATGCAAAGTGGCGATGAATTCTCACGACCGAGATGACGATGTCAGACTCCAGCCGTGCTGGATCGTGTTCCAGAGAAGATTCATCTCGTAGCCTTGAAGCGTGGAAACGCTCCGATAGTAACAAAAGATGCTAAGGAGATGGCACGGATACCCAAAGGACCACTTCCAGGCGCCATCCGCTTCTCCTTTAGAGTCACCGGAGGTTCTCCATGGGACACTGGACGACCACGGCGGTGACTAGGAGGGCCAGCGCGTGGCGAGTGATTGATCCGCAGCCGTTGAAACGACAGAAGGCTGTTCCCCAGATGCTCCTTAGTGCCCTGCGTCGATGGAGTTCACCATGGTATCGGTCTTCGGGAAACTTCATAAGCGCGACGCGCACGAGCGTTGACAGTTAGATTGGATCGAGATCCGTGGTAGGGGTTTCTGTTTGATGTCGTGTGCTACCATGACGACATCGCGACAACAACGGTAGTCTCGAAAGAGATGCGGGTGTGTATCTCAGGCAGTGGAACCTCGTGCCAGATTGTCGGGAATGCGGCAACGTTGGTAAAGTCGTTTACTACTCCTGTTCATTTCCTCCTTCGTCCCCTCGATTCTGTCCGCACATATGTCGTTAGGCTTCACTCACATTCAAAACAAAGAGACATGGAGAACCCAGACGAGATGCAGGACGAGTTCTGTCGATCTCACGGAGACCAAGTGTGGCTTGGCCACTAGTCACTCCGCAAAAATAAACCTTCTTGTTCTCCCGAATTGGAGTTTTGTTCGATGACACTGAAGCCTCCGAGGGGGGACGGAAACGGAGATCAGGGCCACGCTGACTGCCAGACTTCCTCTGGACCACCTCCGAAGAGAGGAAATGTTTAAGAAGGAGGACCTGATCACAGTCTTGTGACATTTCGAAACTCATCAGCTCACTCCTTTCCCTCACCCATTTCTCATAATAGACCCTCATCCTCCTGCCAAGCGCTTGCACCGAGATCAATCCCGCAACATCGACAAGATGCAGCTCTCCAAGTTTGCAGTACTGCTGCCACTCTTGGCCGGCTCTACTGAAGCAGGCAAGATGAGGGCCCCTCGCAGCTGGGCCGCCGATCGTTTCGATATGCAACTCACCTGGAACCAGTTCGGCTTCCTCTCCCATCAGAAGATCGGTAACCCTCCTCAGGAAATCCCCATCTTTGTAGACTGGACCTGGATCAGCCAGTACATCCTCTCGCCCAAGTGCTACGGAGAAGAAAACGACCCCGCGGCCTGCCTCAACGCGCAGCAGCTCTACTACGACCCGGCCAAGTCGACATCTCACCGAGACGCATCAAAGCGTTTCCCCAGCCGCACTTGGCTGCCCAACCACTTCTTCTTCTGGGAGCCTCTCACGGTCGACTATGCGCAAGATGCGGTCCAGATCGGCCCGGTGACTTCGAACTCCATCATGCAGTTCTCTGATACCAACTTTGATCTCTCTGCTTTCCCGTACCCCTTCACTGGAGTTTTGGGTCTCTCCCCTGTTTTCAAGGGTGACAATGGTACGCGATAAAAATCTGTAGATGAAGCTTCTCACATGACACTTTAAACTGACTCGTTTCCAGCTTCTTTCCAGTCGCCATTCTACCAGCAGTGGAAGGCCGGCCAATGGAAGAACCCGACCATCAGCTTCGTCTACTGCTACGAAGAGTCCATGAAACCCACCTGCGGCGGCAGCGACGGCCTCCAGTCCTTTGGTGGCATCATGGACCAGGTCGTCAAGGACAGCGAGATCTACTGGTACGCAAACTACGTCTTCCCCGACGTCAACACGCTGGCCTTTGAGTACTCTCCGGGTTTGTATAACTACTGGGCCACGCCCCTCGACTCGCTCTGGATCGGCGACGAGCTGCAGCCCACGGAGCCCACGTCCAACAGCTCGGGCAAGGCCTCCATCTTCGACCACGCCTCGTACGGGCGCGGCATCCCCCTCACCCCTAACGCGTACGACAAGCTCGTCAACCTTACGGCTGGCCAGCCTCTCACGCTCGAGGACCCCACCATCATCAACAACGGCAACCAGTCCATGTACTCTGTCGACTGCGGAAACATCGCCTCGTTCCCCACCGTGAGCTACAAGTTTGCGGGGCACGACAAGGTCTGGACCAACACCCCTAAGCACTACGTCGAGACGCTGCCGGACGGGAGGTGCGCTCTAAATGTGCGCGCCATGGCGACTGGCGACAGGTTTATTGGAAACTTTGGCGAGACGTTCTTCAAGGACAAGGTTGCTATTATGGTATGTTTCTGCCATATCATGTCGTCACTAACGATGTCCGTGGTACTAACTTTTTTTCCAGAACTTCGAGACCCTTCAGGTCGGTATCGCTGAGATCCAGTGGTAGGCAATCCAGTCTGTGTCATATTCGACTGTTCGTGGGATTGACGAAGTCAGGCCCTCGGCATAAGGTACTCCTGAAGGCCATTGGGTCACCTCAGGACTAATGAATCGAACTTTCGGTTCTCGCGTGGGAGTTGAGTGCTAGAAAGCATATTTGTGGAGTAACGGCGTAGAATATCCAAATTTGTAGAGGTGTGATCCAATAATACTCAGAAACGGGTTGTTCTCTTCGCGATATCTTGGTCGTTTCCTCAAGGAGTGGTCGTGCATGCACATGCACAGCAGTGTATCTGGGAGATTCATGGTGGCTTGAGGGAGATCTCTGCTCAAAGCGGCATTGGGGCTTATTCAAGAAGCGAGCAGGCACCGACTGTTTCTAATTTCGGAACTGCCGGATCCATGTGGGAATCCGTCCGGAAAGAATGGGTCTCGGCCCGGCCCCGAACGGGAGTCGCCTTTTTGGGTTCCTGGGGAGATGGCTTCCCCATCCCCTAAGTTGATCTCCAGTGTTCGGGTACAGCGCCTTACGCAACACGGAGTTCTCTTCGAATTTTTACAAAGTTCCTTCAGTTTAGAATGATCACTGCAACTATGAATCAGCAGTGGCTTTCCATCGAAGTTCCCAGCCACCGTGCCGCTTGCTGGAGCACTGCCTCATCCTCCTGACACCTCTACAACCACGGAAAGTGGCAGCGCTACGTGAACATGTCAGTGTCTCTTGGAAATAGTAATGATTTCGTAGATCAAAATACTGGACTGCGAACATACTATCGCAGTACAAGAAATTGGTGGAAGTCGCGATAGAAAGTTGTTTTGACAGCTGGAAACCTTGAAGGAAGTAGTGGAGAGGTGTCTTCAGCAGTCAATGAGACTCATGGCGAACCTGACTGCTATTGCTACAAAGAGGCTTTCTTTGAATGGGCTGCTCTATCTGATTATACATGACTTACCAGGACCGGACTCGAGAATTGCTTCCTTTGGCATCGTCGAGTTCAAGGGCAAGTAGACTAACACCAGAACACGAGTACGCAACGTAGTAGGGGGATTTCAATTCCTAGTAAAATAGGAAACTTCTAAGCCCGTTTGATTAGGCAGTTCCATCACCAGTGCGATGCGGCACTCTTAGCAGTTTCCGGCACGAGAGTTGAAGGATATGACTTAATGCCTGTTTCGATATTTACGTTTCCCCCAGCACCTCCGCATACCCCTCGAACTAACGGACCGGTCGCCGCTGAGGTCCTGTCCGGAACGGTGCGGCACAGCCCCCGGAGCCGGAATCCACATCACAGCATACCAAGTCTAATAAAGAACAAACCCGGCCGGCCTAAGCCTTAGAACCTTCCGTCTTAGCTCTTAGCCCATCTTTTTCGTCTGTCATTCCGCTCTAAGACGGCCGGGGCACCTGGGTAGTCGAATGCCGAAGGAACGCGGATAAACAGTGGCGTCTCTATCCTATGATTGGATCTCACCGCGATCTTTCGAAACACATTGAGTGAATAATACATAAGACGTCTCTCAACTACCGTGAAAGCCGATGGAACTCCACTGCTCATATAGAAACCCATCATCCTTCGTTCGGCCCGACACTATCGGGGAAGCGCCAAACAGGCAACTCAGACAACAACATCATCATCCTCTCGAGGGGGAACGTTACATACCTGAATCCCGCATCCTTTCCCTTACTCAACCATGTCATCATCTCAAGTCGACGCCGAGGTCCTCATCGTCGGTGCCGGCATCGGCGGCCTCACGCTGGCAGCCATCCTCTCGCGCCTCGACATCTCGTGCAAGGTCCTCGAGCGAAGCGACGTGCTGCGCCCCGTCGGCGCGGGCATCTCCCTCTCGCCCAACGGCCTCCGCATGCTCGACCAGCTCGGCGTGTACGATCAAGTCTTGGACGCGGGGCAGAAGCTGCGGAAAGTGCAAATATGGCGTGGTAAGAAGCTCTGGAATACGGTGGACTGGGCGGGCTGTGAGGCCAAGTTCGGGTATCCGGTCATGTCCTTGGAGCGTCACCACTTTCATAGACTCCTCTTTGATGCTGCGGGAGGTGATGATGTCGTGCAGTTCGGCATAAAGATTGTTGATGTGATTGACGATTCGAGCGAGTCCTTCGTCAGGGTGGTTTCTGACGATGGGAAAGAGTTCCGGGCTCACGTCGTTGTCGGTGCTGATGGGATACGGTCTGTTATCCGGAGATGCCTGGCTCGAGACGCTGGCCTCAAGGAGGCCAACACCATCAAGTTCACAGGGCGTGTCCACATGAGTGGTATCACCGCTCCGTTAGAGCATCTCAGTGCCCAGGACCTCGGTGTCGCGAACTGGATGCTCTACGAAAACTCGACTCTCACAACTTGGCCATGCCCCGACAACCGACAATGGTTCATCGGCGTCACGGTACGAAAAGTCCTCCGTACTCCTACGCATGCCGGTAGGGGTGACCCTCAGCTAATCTTGGCGACGAAACAGAAAACCGACGAGAAGGTTGATAATGATCGGTCTATCTGGAGCAACTGTGACGAAGATACCATCAATTCGGTCTACGGAGACAAGTTCCACCCGTTTGCGGAGAAAGGAGAGTTTAGCGATAGTAAGTCACAAAGCTGAATCCCTCCCATTTCGCTGACGACATTGCCGGGTGGCTTGAAGGAACGCCCAAATCTGACGTGTTATTGTTCTAGTTGTCGAAAAGAACGAGCGTATCCTTGCCTGCAATATGTTCCAAGAAGTCGAGTTCCCTTCAATGGCCCGAGGCAGAGTCTGTCTTATCGGCGACTGTAAGCTCTTCCTCTTGTGTCTTCACTATCTTTCAGGCCTTTCTTGTCAACGGTTGTTTGTGATGAAGGAGTGAACCCGCTAACTGGTTCCAACAGCCGCGCACAGCATGACCAGTGCCTTGTACGTATTTGCGGAAACGCGCGCGCCCCTCTCAAAATCCCTCCGTTGCAGATCACGGAGCCTAGTCTGGAAGCTAAGCATCTAGCTTGGGGCTGCTCCCCCGGGAAAGGCTTTCCCATCCATCCCTCTCCCTAGTTCCAACGGCATTTTACTGACTTTTGACAACTCTCTTGAACAGTGGCCAGGGCGGAAACCTAGCGTGAGTTTCCCTATGCTTGAGATCGAGATTGAGACGCGAATGTGATTGAAGATGCTAATTTGAGATATTCCCAAACGCAGAATTGAAGACGCGGCAGTTCTTGCTAGCCTAATCCACGGAAACCGAGGGTCTTTGGAGCAGAACGTAGAACCAATCCTCCAGAAGTACAGCCAGATGCGAGAAAAGAGGACAAAGGAAGTGGTCAAGTTCAGTTTCCGCTTTATTTTACTACACGGAGCCTTTCTACCCTACGGCATCGGACCGTTGCTGCGATGGTTGATCTATGCTTTTCTGCCCGGCGGCGCCTGGCTATGGTTTCTCGAGTTTCTGTATGGGTTCCAACCCACTGTACCACATTTAGACTCTGCATCGACAAAGACATGAGTGAGAGAAGAGCGTTTATTATTCTGCCTAGCTCGTATGGGTCTATCTCTTTTGGGAATGCAGTTGTTCAAGATTGATGTTTCACTCATTCTGGAGTAATCGCCCGAAAGTTCTATTACGAATAGCTGTTGGATCGGATTCAACGGGTGCCTGGAGGGGAAAGACAAGACACACAGCCACGGGCGGGCTCACAAAGTCGGTCTTTTCTTGTCTTTTCGCGCTGCGTGGGGGAGGGAACAGGGATATCGTTCGAGAAGCAGGGGTTTCAATTACACTAGGACTATTCTGGCTGGACGACGACTTTGACTTGCAGGAGTACCCGTGAATACACGCAGTTGCAAACGGACTCTTGTCGCTGCCTCAAAGTAGTCGTGTACCTCCGCGCTTGTTGTTGTTGTGCAGCTTTTTGCATAACTTGAGGGCGGCGCAGCAAGCGCGACAAGGTCGGCTAACTCGTCTTGGAGTCGGACTCGAGTTGCCGACTTTTGGCCCCCAAGACTAGTAAGATTGAGGCAGAGTAAGTTGGGTACATGTAAACATGCACGAAGTCGAAAAGCCCGTCCCACAACCACAACCACACAACGTCCAAATCTGATGGGCTTTTGCTGATGGGAGTAAATTCTACATGTACATTGTCAGTCTCTCAAAGTCGCACCCCATGGTCAACCACAAAACACCCCCCTTCTTACATCAACACCTCCTCCGTTGACTGTTCACCCCCCCTCGAAGCCTCCCCGACACTGTGCTTGACCCCAGTTTGCATCCTTCAACGGTACCTTGCCTCGTCTCATCTTATTCCAACACTGGCTTACTCTGCAGACTGAAGTTATAACATCTCAAAGAAACCACCAACCACGACAATGGATCATGTTGGTATCATACTTTGCCACTGCAGACGAAAGGGTTGAAGAAGACGAGTGACGCAGCTTTTCAAGACTCCCTCTTTTCAACTTCAAGCCTTTCAAGCCTCTCTCACCCATCCAGACTCAGCCAATCGTAGTCGGCGGCGGCTCAACCCAATAACCCACCGTCTATCTCTCGCTCTCCTCCTGCATTGGTATCAATATACTATTGTACAAATAGAACCAATGTGTATTGTATAATATCGTTTCCCTCTTTCTTTATCAACTCCCGAAACCTAGACAACTATACCCCATCATGTCTCTCACATCCCGACACCCGCTCCGCAAGAGCTGCAGCTTCTGCCGTGCACGCAAGATCAAGTGCAGCAACGAGACCATCTGCGAAGCCTGCCGCAAACAGAATGTCGACTGCGTCTACGACTGGGACTCGCGGCCGCCAAAGACCCGCACCGTATCCCAAGACATGAGCAGAAACAACAGCACCGGCGGCGACAGCACCGGCGTCCCTGTACAACAGCGCCAGAGAGCCTCGACGGGTGGCTCGCCGCATTCCACGACCATTATGGAGGAGCCTGCACAGATGGAGGGTACCGGTGGTGCGGCGCCCGTGGCCCTCATGGGCGGCGGCGAAGACGTGGCCACGATGCTCAACAGCATGTTTATCGAAAACTTTGGCGAGAACCCGACGCCTGGGCCCAAGTCGAACCCGTGGCAGGAGAGGATATCGGCGTACAACCAGACTCTGCGCTTGACTTTGCAGGATCGGAGCGAGAATGTCGTCAACTCAAAGTTTAGTCATCGGGATGTCAAGGTATGGATCCAAGACCAATATTCAAAGGTGAACCGAAGCTAACTTGACTCAAGTACACCGGCATCTTGCAGCTTCTCACTCACGACTTGGTCGGCCTTGTAGTTGATAAGTTTGGCGGTTTGGGATCCATCTTCATGGAACAGGGCGGCGGTAGATTCTATCTCACAGGACTCGCGAGCGACGCCACACCATCAATGTTCGATACAACACCGACAGGACCGAGCCCCCTTACCGACTACGGTACTCGACAGATTGGACAGCTGGTCGACGTGTGGTATAGCGTCCACCCTCTCTCCTTCCTCGTTTCCAAGACCCTTCTTCTTCGCGAACTGAGAGACGGCACACACGATGAGGTCCTTCTGGCAGTGATTCTTGCCGATGCCTCCTTCTCTCTCGGCGACGAAGTGGCAATGGCAAGAGGACATGTCCTCCTCCGATGGGCCTCAGCCCAACTCCAGAACCGCCCCATCTCGACCCGGGTCAGCCAACCGGGCATGCCCGGTGCTGGTATTTCCCTCCCCGGCATCAGCACAGCACAAGTCCTCATGCTTCTGGGCTGGAACAGCCTCTGCCAAGGGCAAATCAAGCGCGCCACATGCTACATCGGTCTCTCCGGCCGCCTGGCGACCGAGATCAAGGACACCATCTCGGCCTCCTCGGCGCCCCTGACGACGAGCCGCATCAACGGCATCGACGTCTGCGAGGTCGAAAAGGAAATCGTGGCCTACCTCTACTGGACGACCTACACCCTCACCCTCTGGACCTTTTTGCAAATGGGCACCCACTTCTCGCAGCTCCTCCCAACGAGCCTCACCTCCATCTTCCTCCCCGTCGACGAGACCTCGTCCGTGCTGATGCGCCTCGACGAGGTCTCGGACAACTTCTCCACGCTGCAGAAGCAGAAGAGCATGATCAAGGAGATGTGGCCCCTCGCCCACATCGCCTCCATCACGGCCTACATCTTCGCCCTCTACCCGCAGGAGCCCGACCCCAACGAGACGGTTAGCACAAACTTCTGGCAGGAAGCGCCCCTGCTCGCACTCCAGCGCATCCAGCAGGGCAGCACGCCCCAGGACATGGAGTGCGTCTGCCGCGAGGTCTACCGCGTCCTGATGGAGAGCATCCACCTCCTCAACCGTCAGGTCGCGCACGCACCATCCCGCTCCCTCGTCTTGTCAGTGTACCACACCATGGCCATCCACCTCCTCTTCCCGGCCATCCTCCCCGGCGCCCCGCCTCCGGCAGAGCCCTTTTCTCTCACGGCCGAGACCGTCGAGCGCTTCATCGGCTCGGCGCAGGAGCTCGTGGGCATCATGCTCCAAATCGCGGAGCAGACATCGCAAGAAGGCCCCGTCATCATGCCCGCACAAAGCAAAAACTCCTTCCCCGACGTCTTCTGCCTGGCACTAGACACCTGCGCCCGCGGCCTCGCCTTCATCTACGCGCAAAAGCAAGCCGGCGTCCTCAATATGGAGCCGCAAATGATTGCCGTCTACGAAGGCCGCCTTGAAGCCCTGGCGTCTCGCCTCCTGGGCATCGCGGCCTCCGACTTCCTCTCCCCCGGCGGCCAGGTCCGCGCCATCAAGAAGCACCTTAAGGCCGTCATACGCGCGTTCGGCGGCAACGTTAGCAGGAGCAGCAGCAGCAAGAGCAACAGGAACAGCACGGGGAGCGGCATGAGCATCCCGATCAGCATCAGCCACCACGCGCGCTCCGACTCGTACGCCTCCTCCTCGTCCACCACGACGCACTCCATGTCGCGCCGCAACTCCTCCCTCCCGCATACCCCGCCCCAGCACCACCACGACCACCCGTTCTCGGGGGCCCCGACGGCCGTGGACTCGGCCTCGTCCTTCATCAGCCCCATGGACACGTCCATGATGCCGTCCGTCTCGTCGTCCTCGTCCGCGGACGACTCCATGACCTCGACGAGCGAGCTCGCGACCCCGTTCAACCCCTTCAGCCCCGGAGACAGTCACAGTCACAACAAGCACCAACAGCAACAGCAACAGCATGACTGGCGCGCCGCAGACGAGCTCTTCGCTCACGTCATGGACCCCGCGGCGCTGGGGGCTCCGACGGGGGATCACCACCTTACGCTTGCGGACCTGGTGGACTGCCAGGCTGGGGCGGCGGGTTGGTTCCCTGACCACAGCGGTGGGCAGATGCTCGTCGACTTTGACATGGGGGCGGCGGCCAACTGGGAGTGGCCGTCTGTCAACGACATGGGTGGTGGTGGCGGCGGTCACGATGCGGGAATGACTGCGGCAGCGGCCGCGGTGGGGAGCGACATGGACTCCATGTTCTACAACTATTTCAAGAAGTGATGGGGGAGGGGTGATGCGTTGGAAGTATCCGTATGCCTTTCCATCCTTCTTGTTTCGTTTTATTCATGACTTGATGAAGAACCATTTTCATTTTTCTTTTCTACTTTACCATTTCTTGGTATTTCTTGCATTGGGCTCACAGGGTCCGAGCCAAACAACACACACCCCCTTACCCCCTTGTACAGGATAGATTTTCATTTGGGGGTCCCTTGGAACGGGACCGTGTCTTCAACAGCTTCTTCATCATTCACTGCATAGCTCCCAACTAGACGGGTAGGCAGGCAGCCTTCATTCGCCGGCAAGGCATTCTTTTCTTTCTTGATGTCCTTTTGTTTCACACTCCATGGCTTAGATGGTTTGGGGGGGTTGGGCATACTGACAACAATTTCGGCGTTCAAGAGGTTCCGGGCTTACATTTCTTTCTTATCCTACCTTTCTTTCTTTTCTTTCACTCACACAATGTGCTACTTTCTGAGCAAGC